CAATGTTCATTGGTGTTTGTTCGTGTTTGTTGGTGTTCATTGGTGTTCGATGGGGTTCGTCCTGCTGTACAGACCTGTGGATGTCCAAATTAGGTCAATTGAGGTGGTCCAAGGGGGGATGAACACCACTACAAGTGATCCAGCATGCTCCGAGGAGGAGTGGTCAGACAGGAACATTGGTATGTTTTAAGATGTATTTTAGTTGTATTACCAGACATGCAATAGACATAGGAGAGTCAGGGAAAGATAGTTAGTGCACTCTAAACAAGTCGCAGGGTGTCCCAATCAATGTGGACAGGGGCTTTGGTTCTGGATCAATGTTCATTGGTGTGGGTTGCTGTTCTTTGGTGTTCGATGGGGTTTGTCCTGCTGTATGGACCTGTGGATGACCCAATTAGGTCGATTGAGGTGGTCCAAGGGGGGACGAACACCACTTCAAGTGATCCGGCATGCTCTGAGGAGGAGTGGTCAGATGGGAACATTGGTATGTTTTAAGATGTATTTTAGTTGTATTACCAGACATGCAATAGACATAGCAGAGTTGGGGAAAGATAGTTAGTGCACTCTACACAAGTTGCAGGGTGTCCAAGTCAATGTGGACAGGGGCTTCAGTTCTGGATCAATGTTCATTGGTGTTTGTTTGTGTTTGTTGCTGTTCATTGGTGTTTGATGGGGTTCGTGCTGCTGTATGGACCTGTGGATGTCCAAATTAGGTCGATTGCAGTGGTCCTAGGGGGGACGAACACCACTTCAAGGGGTCCAGTGCACCATGATGGGGAGTGGTCAGACAGGATCATTGGTATGTTATATCATGTATGTAGGTTGTATTACCAGATATGCAATTGACATAGGAGAGTCAGGGAATAATGGTTAGTGCACTCTAAACAAGTCACAGGGTGTCCCAGTCAATGTGGACAGGTGCTTTGGTGCTTGATCAATGTTCATTGGTGTTTGTTGCTGTTTGTTGGTGTTCATTGGTGTTCGATGGGGTTCGTCCTGCTGTATGGACCTGTGGATGTCCAAATTAGGTCAATTGAGGTGGTCCGAGGGGGGACGAACACCACTTCAAGTGATCCAGCATGCTCTGAGGAGGAGTGGTCAGATGGGAACATTGGTATGTCTTAAGATGTATTTTAGTTGTATTACCAGACATGCAGACATGCAATAGACATAGGTGAGTCAGGCAAAGATGGTTAGTACACTCAGAACAGGTCTCCAGGTGTCCCTGTCAATGTGGACAGGGGCTTCGGTTCTGGATCAATGTTCATTGGTGTTCGTCAGTGTTCGTCAGTGTTCGTCCTGCTGTGTGGACCTGTGGATGTCCAAATTAGGTCGACTTTGGTGGTCCTAGGGGGGACAAACACCACTTCAAGGGTCCAGCATGCCATGATGGGGAGTGGTCAGACAGGATCATTGGTATGTTATATCATGTATGTAGGTTGTATTACAAGACATGCAATTGACATAGGAGAGTCAGGCAAAGATGGTTAGCACACTCTAAACAAGTCACAGGGTGTCCCAGTCAATGTGGACAGGGGCTTTGGTTCTGGAACAGTGTTCTTCGGTGTGTGTTGGTGTTCACCCTGCTGTACAGACCTAGACATGTTCAGAACAGGTCAATTGCAATTGAGCTAGGGGGGATGAACACCACGTCAAGCAGCCCAGCATGCTCCAAGGGGGAGTGGTCAGATGGGAACATCAGAATGTTATAAGATGTATTTTGGTTGTATTACCAGACATGCAATAGACCTAGGAGAGTCTGGGAAAAGTGATTAATGCATTCCACACAAGTCACAGGGTGTCCCAGTCAATGTGGACAGGGGCATTGCTTCTGGAGTGATGTTCATTGGTGTTCATTGGTGTTCGTCTGGCTGTATGGACCTGTAAATGTCCTAGCAAGGTCAATTGCAATTGATCTAGGAGGGACGAACACCACTTCAAATGGTCCAGCATGCCATGAGGGAGAGTGGTCAGACAGGAACATTGATATGTTATCTGATGTATTTTATTTGTATTACCAGACATGCAATCGACCTAGGGGAGTCTAGAAAAGCTGATTAATGCATTCCAAACAAGTAAACAAGTGCTCCAGTATGTTTACTCAGGGCCATCCATGCTGGACTGATGTTCACAAATGTTTGCACATGTTCATCAGTGTTTGTCATGGTGGACGGACCAGGACATGGTACTACAAGACCCATGCAAGTGGGCCTGTATGGATGAACACCATTCCAAGTGGGCCAGCATGCTCCAAGGCAGGGTGATCCAGTGGGCATACTGGTATACTATCTGATGTAGATTCTCTATTTCATTGTAATACATGCAGTAATATAGACATACAGGAATCTGGGAATGATGATCAATGTGCTTGAACCAGGTCCCAGGGTCTCCCAGCATTTGGACATGGTCTGGATAGGGGCTTTGGTAAGGGGTTGATGTTCGCTGGTGTTCATCTGTGTTGTCTGTCATTCCCCATATTGTATGGACCTGTACCTATCAACCTGAGAGCAGGGGAAGAGGTTTCCACAGTATGAACACCATTTCAAGTGGTGCAGCATGGTCTCAGCAGGGGTGGTCAGGTGGGCACACTAATAGAATATCTGATGTAATTTATTTGGATTACATGAAAGTCAATTGACCTACCAGAGGCTGCAAATGACATTCCATCTGCTCCAAAATGAGTGACAGGCTGTCACAGTCAATTTGGACAGGGGCCATGGTGCTGGCTTGATGTTTGCTGGTGTTTGCAGACAATTTCCCATTGGCAGCAGACTGACATGGGCCAAATTGTCAAGGACCATCCAACTGCAGCCTTGGTTGATCATGCAGGACTGGAAGTGGTTGGCCCAACTGTCCAGTCTGGGGCCAGTGGTTGGGAAACTTTTCTTTCTGTTTACCTGTCAGCTTTGGATCCAGTTGGATGCAACTTGGCTGAGAGGTTCAGAGGGAAAGCCAGAGCCAACATCTTTGGAAGATGCCATTCAGAGTTGGACTCTGAACCAGACCTTTGTTGATATAGATTGTGGTTCCCATTCCTGTGGAACTGAATCCCAGTGTTGCCTAGTGTAGTCTGATCAGGTAGCAACATGTTTGGCATCTTGGGATGATACCTGGCCCAAATGTGAACCCCCCTCTTCAGCTTTGCTCCATCAAAACAATTCCAGATCAATCCAGCTGTCCATACCATGTCTGTGCCACTCAAATGACATGGCAGGACCATTTGGATCACACCAGAAAGGACCCTATGTCTCACTCCCCTCCTCTTATCCTGGCGGTGCTAATCCTGTAAAGTTTAGCAAGCATGAAAGCTTGTCAGGAATGGTTGTCCTGGAGGGCCTGAAAGTCACAATGGATGATGACAATGGTTGCAGTATTTCTAGGTGTCAGAATATCCATGTAAGATATGTTACCCTGCCCTCCCCATGTTCACTCCATCAAAACAATTTCAGAGATTGATCTAGCTATCTGAATTATGTCTACCCCATGGGTATGACATTACAAGACCATCAGAATTGTGTTACAAAGGTCCCCATATTTGTTTCATCAACATACCTGATCCCCTCCTCATACCCCAGGGATGGCGATCCAGTAACATCAGGAGGGGGTGCCAGCTTGCTAGGGATGGATGTCCTGGGTGTTATCAATGCCACTGAAGACAATGGAAATGATTTCCAGCCTCCCAGAAGTATTTGCAAAGAGATACCACTTTGTGGTCTGACCATCCTTCTACCCCCTGTAGATTTTTTTTCCAACTGCCAATTTCATTCAAATTTCACCTGGGACATCCCAATGGACATATCTATTGACTCCCAGCATTATTTCCCCCAAATTATGGTCGGGAGTTTGTAATTATAATTCCCCCAGGGGCTGTATAATACTGAGCAATGTGGTCACAGGAGATTGTGAGGTTGTGAGAGGGTGGCAGAAGATGTGGCTTCATATACATACAGATTTGTAATTGTTATGCAGGGTCATGTGGTGAAATTAGCCCTTATTGAAAACAAAGCCAAAAAGGGGCTAATTATGGGATGCACTGGAAAGCTTGTGAATATTGATTTGCAGACAGCTTGGATTGGTGCCGACACCCCCCAAAAAATTCAATGGCAGTTACAAAGTGCTGAACAATGTCAAACAGTGTCAAACAGCCCCCACATCTCAGCATGGAGCCATTGCAGAGTCTTGGAAACTCTTGGAAACTTTCACAAATGCATATGTCATGTATAGAAATGGATATACAAATGTTCATAATGATTGGAGCACCCAATAGGTCAGGACTGGTCATGACCAAGTCCATCTTGGCATTCAGCAATCACTAGACTCAGTGACCATGTCCAACAATGGTTTTCTGGTCATCCTAGACCTTGGGGACAGGCATAGGGAGCAGAAGTGCCTGGTCAGGACCAGTCCTGACCAGTCACATCTTGCCTTTCAGCAATCACTGGACTCCCTACCATGTCCACCAGTGGTTTCCTGGTGTTCCTTGACCTGGGGGACAGGCATAGGGATCAGAATCACCTGGTCAGGACCAGTCCTGTCCAGTCACATCTTGCCTTTCAGCAATCACTGGACTTGCTACCATGTCCAGCAATGGTTTCCTGGTCATCCTAGACCATGGGGGTGGGCATAGGGAGCAGAAGTGCCTGGTCATGACCAGTCCTGTCCAGTCACATCTTGCCTTTTAGCAATCACTCAGCTCCCTACCATGCCAGTGGTGGAAGTACATAAGTGGCCCAAATGGAATGGAAAGCTTGAGAAAAAGCACACAACAAGACAGTGGTGAGGCAAAACATAACAATACATGCTATACCCACCCCCAACAACAATGTCACCACCAGCATGACAATGGTGATCCCCCCTACCAACTTGCAGTGGCATTCATGCTAATGACCAGCACTACCAATTCCAGTAGCAATACCCATATGAATGGACCACTACCTGTAATTGCTACATTGTAATCAATTAATTCACTGCATTAGAACTTGTGACATTTGAGTCAATAGTCAGTCTGGCAGGCTAACCATCTTATGACTGTCTGGAGAGTCCCCTGAGACATCATTGCCTGGCATGACATGGTAGTCAGATGAGACCAGTCATCTGTAGAGCAGTGGATTGGTCCCTATAAGGTGATATCAGTAAAACAAAGTATGAACTAAACTACATGATCAACTTGAAAGGGTACAAGGAGGAAGACTGGACATAAGAACCAGAATCAGCCCTCAAAAGTTCCAAGGCCTTGCCCTTGATCACTTTTTTCCCTTTTCTGCCCCTTTAATAAATACACTATTTCCAGCTCAGTTTTCAGTTGCCTGCAAGTAAACCACCAAGGAGGGGATAGTGTCACAATACTTGCATGTTCTGTTTGACATGTTCTTCCTCTGTTTCCTTATTACATAATCTTATTTCAGCCTCATGACTGGGTTCTGGACCTCCACCTTGCATTCACCATCACAGCCATGGAAGTCAGTGAGATGATCATTCTCAGAAAATGTTTCAACAAGTGTTTTCAAGTTGTTATACAGCATTAGGTAGATAAAATAGAATGTCAAGTCAAGACAACTGACTTGAAACATTCCTGCCACTTATCCCCATGAACCATCTTGCTTAAGTCCAACTCTAGACAACAACCAGTAGAAATCACTACCATAGTCCTCATGGAATAAAATGACCCCCAGAATGCTGGATGTATCCAAAGTAGCAATCTGCCTCTTGGACCTTTTATCCAGCCATCACTGTGAAGTTTGACTGGATCACTGTCTACATTGACATTGTCCAATGACAGTCCACCAAGAAGTTGTTCACTGTCATCCAGTGCATGTGAAAGGATGGGTGAAAGGCAAATTGGGTTGACTTTAATAATGAGTTTTAGTGAACTGAGAACTTGTGATTGGTAGATAATACATACCATGTGCCATAAAAGATGAAAGGGGTTCACCTTCTGAACTTCGTAATGAGGGCTTGAACTTCTCATGAATGTGGACTGCATCCTCAAAACTTTCAGCATCCCAGACCCTTATGGTTGCATCATCTGAACCTGAGACAATCCTCTTGCCATCAATGGAGAATGCAACTGAATTAACTGCAGATGTGTGCTCAAGTGGACTACCAATTTGCACACCCCTCTCAACATCCCAGATCCTCATAGTGTTGTCAGCTGAGCCTGAGATCACCTTTTTCCCATCAGGGGAGAATGTGGCTGAAAAGACTAAAGATATATGCCCCTCAAGCAGCCTCCCAATCTGGACACCTCTTTCAGCATCCCAGATCCTGACTGTCTTGTCAGCTGAGCCTGAAACAATCCTTCTACCATCATAGGAATATGCAACAGAAAAGACTGAAGAAGTATGCCCCTCAAGAAGGTTACCAACTTGTGAACCTTTTACAACATCCCAGATCCTTATGGTATTGTCAGATGACCCTGAGGCAACCCTTCTGCCATTTGGAGAAAATGCAACTGAAAAGATTGAAGTTCTCTCCTCAAGCTGACTGCCAATTTGCACACCCTTCCTAGCATCCCAAATTACCACAGTCATGTCAGAAGACCCTGAAACAATCCTCTTCCCATCAGGGGAAAATGCAACTGAATTGACTGAAGAAATGTGCTCCTCAAGTGGAATGCCAATCTGCACACCTTTTTCAGCATCCCAAATTCTGACAGTTCCATCATCTGAACCTGAGACAATCTGCTTGCCATCAAAGGAAAATGCAACTGAATTGACTGAAGAAGTATGTCCTTGAAGAGGGCTCCCAACCTGTACACCACTCATGGCATCCCAGACCCTAACATTGTTGTCATCTGAACCTGAGACAACCCTCCCACCATCAGGGGAAAATGCAACTGAAAGGACTGAAGAGATAGGCTCCTCCAAGGCAAGTTGATTGCTTGGCCATTCTTTATATCCTTTGGAGACCATAGCAAGGCTAGAAAATTTTGGCAGGAGCATTTTTGATATCATTGTGTTTGAAGGAGCAAATGGTAGTGCAGAGAGGTATAGGTGTGGTGCACTATATGCAATTGCACTGCCAAAATTCTCAATGAACTTGATCTCCTCTTGTGCCATCATTAATGTATCACCAAAGCCATTTTGGCCCTGTGATGTGATGTCAGACAACATTAAAGCAAGACCATAGAACACTCACCTGTAACCATATTGTAATGTGGGTAAGGGCACCCCTAGCACATCCAAATACTCCAAGCAGGCTGAGAGTCTCCAACCAAAAAAGGATTTTTTCACTACCCACGATCACTTTCACAAATTTTGCAAGCACAGGGTCAAATGTGGTCATCTGCAGATGCTGGGCCCAGTATTGACATGAGTATGATAGTGAGGGTGGTATGTTTTTGGTAACCCTTTCTGATAAGTCAGGAACCTCAGCATTGCAAAGGTAGGAAGATTCCAGTCCACAAATGTTGAATTGTAGGCCATGGCAAAGGATCTGCAAGGAAGCAAAGGCAAGGTCATGCATCCCAGATGCACCAACAAAGTATGCTCCACCCTTTACAGGGTCAACAAGAAAGTCACAGAATGATGTATGGAGGAGTTGAACAGGAGAGGACCTGTTAGTGATTCCACTCAACAGGGATGCCATAAATGTGAGGACAACAGCCACATCATAATGATCCTCCTCACAGGGGAAGCGGCTGCGCATCTCATTCAATACGTGCATAGACAGTGGCACAGCTGTGAAGAGAACCTGCTGCATCACAGAACGGAACCGTCCAAGGCTGGTTTGGTCCTCAGGTACAATGCCTCCCAGAATTGCTGCATACATGGCATCTAACAGGGTTCTCCCATTTCCGTAAGGAAGAGAGATGATCAGCTCGAACCGCTCCCTGGCAGTTTGACCCAGCCTATTTTGTTGGATGAAGTCGCAGGCGAGACGAGCCCACTCAAATATCCCATCAGCCGCCTGAGCAATCCTCTGAATTTCTGTGGCTCCGATGTCTCGAACATTCCCAAGTCGTTCGGAAACAAATAACCGGATATCACGTTCCACCAACACCACAGAGATATGGTCTAACGCATAGACCTTGATGTGCTGAGACGCACGCAGGGCATCCTTGATATCAGGCACGGGACGGGATGTCACGAGGATGCGGAAGTTGCGAGGGAGCCCGACAGCATGAGCTGACGCAAGCACCGATAAAATGTCTCTTCGCGATGATTCCAGACCACTCTCGTCCAATGCGTCAATGACCACGAACACGCTCCCAATCGTGCCACCCCTGACCATGGACAGCGGGTCCAAAATGAGCTTCTCCCACTGTAGCTTGATGTCAGATGTGGTAGCAAGCGAATGATCTCTTGCAACGACATTAGCCAGTGCTCGCCGGAATGAGGGGTCACAGTCCGCAAGATCGCGTGCGATGGTTGTAAATATCTTTCCTTCGCGGTGCTCAGCCTGTCTGTCACGAGCGAAGCAAAAGCACGATGCAAGACCTCCAGCATCCTGAAACCACTGGACGACGGTGCGGGCAATAGTAGATTTCCCCTTGCCACCTTGGCCATATAGCCAGAAAACCCGCGGGATGTGTTCACTGGCATCCTGGACCCAGCTGATGATTTCCGCGAGAACCTCTGTCCTAGTGTTGTCGAGGCATCTTTTGTTCCCAACGAGGCCTGGACTCGGTGCGCAAGTCATCCCGCCCACACCCGAATCTTCAAGAACGCGGTGCGCGTTGATCTGGATGTCCCGGACCGTATGGCCTCGAAATTGTTGCATCAAGCCACTTAGCATCCTGGCGTAGTCATCAATAGCGAGCTGCGTCTGACGCATCGGATTCTTCCCTTGTCTCGACCCTGAAAACGTATCAGAGCAGATTTCCTAGTGAGAGCGCTGTGAACTCACAGGAGCGCTTCGCCTCTGGATAATCCTTGATGAAATACGCAGCATCGCTTATTACTCGTACAATCATTCCTAATGTTTCTCTCGCGCTTTGGACATTCTTAGCGGTATCTTCTTCTGATAGCAACACATAGACATTTCTGACTGTGTCCAGGAGCCCGCATAATACTGTATCCAGATTCGCCTTAGTCGTGAATATCTGAGGACAGATAAGTGAGGGATGAGGGAAAGAATATGAGAGCGGGAACGTACCTGGGAGGCAGCGACCAAAATTCCCATAGCAACTTGGACGAAGGGGTGGACCTGGCACGCGTATGTGGTTACTGTACAAACCCACAAAACCGGCATACGTACGTTGGAAAGCGTAGTGGCAACTTCTTTGAAATCTTTGAAAGGTGTGAAATACATGTTACCGAAGCCCTGGATCTCGACGAATGCGGTATTGGCATTGGCAGCAAGGTCAGCCACGCATTTTTTGATACGCACTATGGGGTTCACCTCGTCAAATTCTTGTATGTCAGCATCGACGTCCTTGTCTACTGCAGCTGATAAGGGTTCTGGTCCTGCTTCACTAATTGAGCGTTGAGTCTGTCCAAACAATTTGCTCAGAGTCGTTGCAGCAGCAGGAAACCATAGATCACATACGTAGTGAGCGGAACCCACTGGTGTTGGTTTCTGTGGCGCTTCCCCACCTCCGGCAACACTTGGCCCAGAAGTAAAAGTTGGATGACTTTGGCTCGACCGCTGGAAGAAGCGCCTCACTCTGGCAAACGTTCTGCGAGATGAATTATCACACGTTTCGGTCTTAGACCGAACGAGAGCCCCAGCTAGAGCCTGGGACTTATCCCTTGGCTAGTTTTGTGTGAAATGATAAACGCGATCCGGTGGAAAGAATAAACTACGTACGGAGGAAAGGCTAGACATAGAATTAGATGAGCCGATAACTCTGGGGTGACGACATTTCTTCGACTGCTTTGCAACCATGTTTGAAAAACGAGTGAGTTGTCAAACTTGACGAGATGAAGTTGGGACTGTCGCACTTGCTGTGGTACACACGTCGTAAGAGTATTACGTAAGTACAAGTCCCGATAACCGATGGCGAACATTTCTAGGCTCCTTGTAACCCTCGTTTTACCCTCAGGCCTCACCCCCTGCTCTTTCGTACGTCCAATCTGCCCGTTGAACAATGTTCCGGAGGTCGGCGATCGTTCCGCTTCGCTTCTAGTCTGCCGACTAATATTTACTGCTAGACTCCCGTTAGTGTAAACGACTTCGACTTATCGATCATCGGGTCTGGACGTCATGTCACGCGTACCTCTCCTGGTTCCCGAGCCTACTTATGGCTGTAAGTAACGGTGTTATAATCCTCGCTGCAGTCAGTGTTGATGATCGTGGCCGGCTGTTGATAAATGTGCGACTTCGTACGGGATGCTAACAGATCTCTGGTGGTGCCCCGAAACAGCATCGTACTAGTTCCTACCTACTATCGACACGACGTCATGCCAGTGTTTATTGATAACTCTAGCACGGCTCACATATCTAGTAAGGGGAGCCCTCAGGCCCTTACCCTCTACTCATGCCTTTGTCATAGTCACCATGACTTCCTGTAATGAATCGAAGAGAAATCACTCTCACTCAAACTCGCATTGCCGAATCCAACACGTAAATGCAATACCGTGAACTTGGACGAAGTTAATGCTGACCATAGGAAACCTAGAGCTGAATGTCGGGCGCTCATACCTGTCAATGTATTCGTTGTTGTACAGCGGTCTACTGCTTCCCCCCCCTCTGCGACCGCATATGCCGTTGCCGCGGAGAGTAGCGGTACGGATTGTAAACTGCTTCCCCACCCTCTGCGACCGCATATGCCGTTGCCACGGAGGGTGGCGGTACGGATTGTAAAAGACATCATGGCAAGACCCACGCGTATAGCCTACTAGGCTGTCGCACTGAAATGACTGCCGCTGCACGATCTTGTCTGAATCGCTGCCACATTGCCGCTCCGTCCGACTGAGTGTCTAGTTTTCAGAGCCTGCGGGCGAATGCATATTGTTGCACACTACTCCGCAAGACCAGACGGCGCAGAGAGGACGACCGATGGGGATCCCTGTGGTGCAGTGGTGAGTGGTCACAGATCAAGGTTTTATAAGAGATATTTTCTGATCCCGTTTTTTCTGCAGCTCGAGGACTTATCTGGTAGTCGCTACTTCCTTGGCGCTCGAATACCCACTGCTGTGGGTGTTGAGAACGCTACCTGTGCACAATATCGTCGCTCTCATCAACATCATCATCCCCGGCCATGTGAGTGATGTAGAACGTGCATTGATATCGACTCAGTTGCCGCCTCCATGGGACCATCGTAGGAATCCTTGATGGACAACATGAAAATGTTTGCGAGAGCGCAACAAGGGCAACGATAAAACGTATCAGGACAGCATTCCAGAGGGATCAAGGGAACTCCAGTTTAATCCTACTAGCAAACTCGCTTCATTGAACAAAAGCCGGACCTACGCTCTCACTGGGGAAAATGAGTATAAGCTGTTATGTAACACCAACAAGGCAATAGAAGTATGTACTGCCATTTCCCTTTCGTCATTTGTGCAGTGATCACACACTGGATTAGAAGTCAAGGGTTGGTGTTTCCCAGTATACATGGATGGTGGAGGCTGGAGACATTTAGACGCCATGCGAAACTGGTCGGGGAGGTTGCATAGCATTTCTGTGAGGTTGGCGAAGAATGCTGAGTGGTTCCTGGCCATTGGAAGGCAAGTCGAAGGATGGATTGCCAGTTGTGTAGCAGTCTTGAACATAACTAGCAGCTGCTAATTTGCTGATGTGCCTCCATTCAGCGCACCATGCTGTGCGCATGCAGTTCTTAGTGCACAGTTTACGTAACGTTCCCTATAATCTAGCGACGAAGCCCCTATATAGAACCCCCATAAATTGGGTGCAGTATTCACTATTAGTACATACCACCGGGTTACACCGGGGGAGAAACTGAAACTTTGGGTATGTTTGTGTAGATCGTCGTATCGCCATACAGAGCATGTACAGAGTCACCCTGCCAGTGTCCACAAGCACAAAGGCAACGGACGCAGCATTCCAGCGCAGGTGTGCCAACCTGCAACCCACCAACAGCATTTAAGTCAGAGATCTTAAGATACTCTGTTCGTTCGCCCTAAAGCCGTGCTTTCGTGCAACGTTATAGGAGGTCTTGATATCCCTAACTTTAACGCCTACTCCCACTCGCATGGTGGTGACCATGTCAGGTCCCGTCAATGGTCCTAAGAGGTTCGCCGCAGATCTGTCCGAGCTTCAAACGTGCGCTAGCTTCAAGTCAACGTCAGCAAGCAACAGTAGGAGATGGACTGTGTATGGTGAGTGTAACTTCTCCTTCATCGAGCTCCCCTGATTGTTGCCCTCACGCTCGTTGGCATGCATGCTCATCTACTTTGGTCGTTGGTACATAGACATCAAAGCTGGCGATGAAGAAGGATCCTTCAAGTTCGATCTCGTCGATGCACATATCCTGACAGAATCCTTGAACAGGTGTGGAGATGGAATGACACCGACAACAACGATAAACATCTTCATTTCAGGTACCGGCTCGCTCTCTTCGCAACGCCTCATTTAATTAAGTACAACACATAATCCACGGTTTAGACACGTCCGAATATCCTCATAACCATACCTTCTTCGGCTACACTCAAGACGATGCATTCGTCACACCCCAAATTTCTAACTCCATCAAAAAGTTGTCAGATCGAAAATCGTGCACGGTAAAAGATGTCGTCGAGTTTTTCTTGGAAGAGTTGCCTCGTGGCTGCAATGCCATATCCATCAACGATCATAACGAAGAAGGTGGGCTCGAAGGACTCGAAGCAGACGCTGGGAGGGAGGACATGGACGCGCTGAGCTCTAGTTTCGATGAAGACCACTTTGACGAACAATCTTCCCAATATATGGATTTGGATTTCGAACCTTCTTCTGTGCCTCAATTACAAATTAGTCGACTGTGCAAGTTGGTCTCTTCTCTCCTTTCTTCACTGCGCCAGCCACTCACCTCTCGGTACCTCCAGAGACTTCACTGAAGCAAGGGATGCAGGCTATCACCCCGGTATTATCCGTGCGGGCGGCGGCGAATTCTACCTGTCCATATCATTACCTGTAATCGACCTAACTGCCTGCATCCCTCCGCATGCGTTATTCGCCTGGGACAGACATTTCTTGCAACCTGGTCAATGTCTTACTCTCCTCATATCCGGATTTCGAGGGTTCTATCCGGTTCTCGGTCGTGATGGTTCTGTGATTCCCGACGCTGCGTTCGCAAGCGTCGCACTCAGATTCAAATTGGGACTCTCATCGAACTATAAACCTCCTTTAGACCAAGTTAGATCCGCCTTCCGTCAATACATTCATGTCACAGAATCGGAAGGGGGCGCTGCTGATGGATCTGCACAGTTGTTTGAAGAAAGGTTGCAACACGAAGTAGCAGGTGCAGGTGCTTTCAGGAAAATGGGCTTGAGCGATTCACTAGAGGACTTATTGGACAAGTATCTACTTCGCCTGATCTGGCTGAGGAGGAGGATCGGGTTGAGTTGGGCTGCTGCGGAAGAGTTGCTGTGGCAGTCTGAAGCTGCACTAGATGATCCCGAGAATGTTTTTTCTAGAAAAGAGGAGGTGCGCACGGTTTCTCTGGCCAACTTTTGAACGACTTGATGGGTTGTAGATGTTATCTAATGCAGACGAGGCTGAGAGGAAATTATCTGCTTCGTACCAACTGCCTGCTGATCCCATGGAGGCTGGATCACCAGACATCAACATCATCACGACCACTTTCGCGTTCTTGATTAGGCGGCTTGCGGTGAGGTGATCATAACTTACTCGATACCTTCTCACCTTCGGTCCAGCTCTGCGCCCGGAATTGCGTCATATGTCACAAACGATTCGAAAACGAGAAATACGAAGCTCTGAAACCGTACGTGTGTAGCTCGAATCTCTGCATATTCCAGTACTACGCACTGAATTTTGGTCCTTCCTTGGAGGTATGTACATCACCCATGCAGCGCCGCTTGATGTTTCTTATCCCTTACCCTCCGTGCTCCGCAGTACGAAGTCGCCACCAACACAGAGACGGTGGATTTATTGGTCTCTTTAGCATATGTTGCAGCAGCGGAGGGCGCTCTTGAGGAACCCTTCCCGTGCGGAATGGGTCTACGTGTCCCAGTTCCCCAAGGTAGCATTGTCATAGTCGACGACGACGGGTTGTGCGACTTTGATGCTCTACCTGTTCAGGAGGTAAACCTTCGGCTGTTATTTTGTGGCTGGCGGTCGTTGATGGTGATTGTACACTTCTACAGATGCGTAAGACGATAACGACGCTTTTGGATAGACTTCCTCCGGTGTGTATACTTGTTCCGTGTGTCACGATAACGTGGGACACCGGACTGATGACGTTGGCCCCTAGATCGCCGCGATGAAGCAGTTTTTATTAAAGAACCCAACGGCGAGATTGCAAGATATGGATTCTCAGACTCCCCCGGCTGCTTGGTCCCTTTTGAAGTGGTGAGTTCATGGAGTATCTACGGCCTGCGTCGAGGAAGCTCATGGCTTCGTACAGGTGCTTCGCATCATGCACAGCACATATCCAGGAACTGAAGAACCGAGAAGACTTGCTTGGGAACATCGGTTAGTCAGTTGCATCTCGCAATATCTATGTCTGTATTTGTGCGTTGATTGACTACTACTTGTATCCAGGCGATTCCTATCGTCAGTTTCGTATTATGACAGGCGCGCCCGACAAAGCAGCCAAGTTCAACGCTGCACTGGAACAGGAGTCCCATATTACACCATCGAGGTATCCCACTATATTTGTGGGCTCCTTTCTCCCAAAATCGCGCGGCAACGGTTCATCTTTTCTCCTCTTTTGTGCAGGCTTTCCATGGTTCTCCAATGAAGAATTGGCACTCGGTATGCATAGTTCTTCTATGAACTTGTCCCTTTCTGATTCTCTTGGTTTAAGATCATCCGTCACGGACTATGGTACAAACACATCGTCAACGGACGAAGCTATGGAAACGGTTAGTCCTGACTCTTCCCTTCCCGCCCACTTCTAGACATGTTAATACTGCTACATATCCAGGGGTCTACTTCGCGGCAGACGGCTCAGTGTCGATGTCGACGTATGCCGCCCCAAATTACTCAAGATGGGGAGGCAGCAGCCTGAAACCCAATAAATGCCTCGTACTTGCGGAGATCGTCAACGTTCCGTCGAGATTCGTGTGCAGGTTTCCGTGTTATGTCGTAAATAATACAGATTGGATCATGTGGTATGTCTCCGTTTGCCACCCTCAACTGCCATATGTGAGCGCATACCTGATCGCCTTCCCTTTTTCTCTGGCCTTCTTTAGTCGGTATTTGTTGGTCGACTGTGGAGATCATGATCCCACACAAGAAGCTATCCATCCCAAGGGTCCTAGAGGAGTATTCCTAGAACAAGATCCACAATATGAAGCTAAGGTCCAAAATGTACCGATCGACATACCGAAACCATCGCATCACCTTGACAAGATCCTAGAAGAGTGCCGTCAAGCACGATTATCTGTAGAGTATGACCAAGACGACATGTCAATCTTCGGGGCAGCGGACGAGGTGCAACAATCTGTCATGCCTGCTAGCCTTGGTTCCCCAGCTATGACTGCGGATATGGTGGTGACAACCGACCCCCCCCTCAGATGGTTCCCAGACCATGGATGGACCGAGAAGAACGTTCTAGACTTGCCTCCGCCACCTATCGAGTCCTCCACGGTAGCTACCATGGCTCTGCACAGAGAGCTGAAAGTATTGCACAAAGAACTACTGAAGGCTCGGAAGCAAAACGAGATAGAGCTTCTAGGGTGGTATATTCCTTCTGAATTTAACACAGACAATATCTATCAATGGGTTGTCGAGATGCACTCCTTCGATCCCGAGCTCCCAGTAGCTAAAGACATGAAAGAAAGGTACGTAGATTGTTTCAGTATTGAATGGTGTAATGTTGAGCCCTCTTCTTGGTCTTGCCAGAGGCGTGAATTCGGTAGTTCTTGAAGTTCGGTTCCCACCAAGCTTTCCACACTCGCCTCCCTTCTTCCGTGTCATACGACCTCGTTTCCTGCCCTTTTCGCAGGTGCGTGTACTCACACTATCCTCCTAAGTTCGAAGATACATTTGCACCCAGGGCGGAGGTGGCCATATAACGGATGGTAAGCACTCTGCTGCATGCCCGCTACTATACACGGACTATTCGCAATGGTACAGGGGGATCGATATGCATGGATTTGCTAACCTCAGACGGTGCGCGGCATCATGGTTTGGAAAATGCTTTATAGCTCATGCAGTACAGGATGGCTTCCAAGTTATAGGTATGTCTAGTCTTCGGATAGGGTAAAAACCTTAGCCCCAAGCATCTTTCCCTTGCGCAGTGTCCCGGCAATTCTGTTGCAGATCAAACTTGCGATATCGAACATAACCCCTCGGCCTGCAAGATTGCATCCTCAGTACTGGGATAGGTGAGGCCCAACATCATTGACACAACCGACCATGGGATATTGATGTAATGATCCGTCTTTCTTTCTTTTCTTACCTGCAGACCGTACACTGCCAAGGAGGCCTTGAACGGATACACTCGCGCGGCAGCTTTGCATGGGTGGAAGGTTTGTTCACTTTGCTTGTGTCAATGGTTCCGTTTACACGCCTCACATCTGCTCAGGTATTGAACGCAGCAGAGATCAAGACGCTCGTGACTAGCCATTAGAAGGAAATTATGTCGTAGAGGGTCTTTCATTTTTGCATGTACTCGACCACAACGGGCAACATAATCGTTGCTCACTTGACACGGAGTAGAGTAATATCGGTCAGACGGCACATGTACTTACACTAGTTAGGGAAGGTTTTCACAGATGTTTTGTCATGCTGTAGGCTATTGCAGGACATTCTAGGACAATAGATCCTCGTACCGATATTCACTAGCATTGCTAAGTCACTCCCGTTGTGACTGTCTCATCACGCCAATACTAAGGACCTCTCCCAAGCTGTTCGCTCACTTGATCGTAATACTCTGAAAATAACGAGTACCGACCATAGCAAGATACTGACAGTGTAAGACTAATATGTAGTCGATATAGTGGCATCGCATGACCATTGAGCTCATATATATAGGTATTACGGCACGTGAAAGCGATCGATAACTCGCAGGCAATGTAAAGGTCGGCCAATGACAGAATATATGCACGATTATAATATGCACGCCAAAAGGAGCAGCAGAATAGTGATTGACAATGTTCACTTGCTTCAGGATATCGTTTTGCTTGATAATGATGATGATGGGTGACGGATATCTAGATTGTGATAAAAACCTCAGAGCGTGCTTGTCACGGATGGACCTATTCTTTATGTACAAGACTGTTCTGAGGCGCAGCTGCTTTCGTCGATCCTTGGAGACCCAGTGACGAGCCTAACGTTACAGGGCCATGGTCTTACCATCCCCGTCAAACGATGACCTCTCCGTGAGTACTGTTGTGTGAACCTCGAGCTGGATTGCATTTGTAGGTGTCTCTTTTGGGACCTCCAGTTGGATGTTGGACACATCCCTTGCAGTAGTTGAATGAGCCCAGCTGATGTCGTTCTATTCACCAAGTCGGGGAGAACGGGTACGTCAAATATAAAGGGAAGAAGTAATGTCAAACATACCCCTGATTTTCTTTCGTATGTACCAACCATTTGTGACTTAAGTTCCTCACGCGTCAATAGCGTGTCAAAGAGGGTCTGTTAAGTACATAGACCAACCCGTTATTTTGCTGGGACAGTCTCACCCCTTACGATCACTCACATTTGTATAGATACGGCCTATCGGAATGGCAAACATCCCGTAGAGGTTCGTCGTCGGGAGAACCAAGAAACTAATCAGATCACCAAGGGAGAAGATGCCAGCGAACAATCCTGTTTGGATAGCACCACGAATTAAGCGGTTAAGAACGGTATCCGTCTTGTGGTACCCAGTCTTTGAACGTGTAAAAATTATGGTTAGCGTAACTGCACCAATTGGATCAATGATAGGAAAACCACAAAAAAGGTAGCTACTAACCGGTGATGAAAATGTCAATCGAGACCTGCATCGCAAGCCAGGCAGTCACAAGGTTGTTAAGTTGGGATAGCTCAGAAAGCCTGAACAGCAGACGTAAGAATATTCCGTCTGGAACAATGCCAAATCGAGTGACTGACACTTGGATAATCCATGCTTTGATACCGCAGGCCATCCCAAGAGCAAAAGATGGGATAGCCAATAGAATCACGGTGGCAAAGAGGATGTCGCTGCCACTCAGACGCCATATCCTAGAAATATCGCCTCAAACGTCCCAACTAAAGAAGGAAATAGCGCACCGGTACCCAAGGAAGAGTTGAGTCACTAGAGCAGCGGCAGCCGTACCAATGGGTGTGAACGTGTACGGCCATTCAGCAACTTATTGGTTGTGTCAACGGCGCTGCCAATGGAGTTAACCACCAGACAACGCACCTGCCAGAGCTGCTGGGTTGTTATAGTTCGTGACACTGATGAACGATGAATGACATGGGTGGGAACACAGCAACTGAAAACGAACGTGTATGACCAAGCCATGTATATGACTCTATGGTGATGGTGTCATGGTGAGTGGTACACGCAGATAGACATTATAAATAGCCATACTTACGATCCACTATGAAACGTGTCCAGGACGAACAACGACCACACCATAGTCCTGCAGTATACGGAACAAACATTACAGTAAAGGAGAGGGGATGCTGAAAATGAGAACCGACCTGACATGCAACGGATCGTTGAAATCTGTGGAGCTAGGTAACAAGACAAGCTCTCACGAGGTGCCACTTACTGCTTCTGCAGTATGCTGCAAACTGGTATGTAACAAGACCATAGAGGTAGGTGTTGACTTGCGAAACGATATTGTTGTTATTGAAGCAGCAGCACCAATGGATAAAAGGACGTACAGAATATCCCTATCAAGAGGGTCCCTAAAGTACTGTATGAATACCTGCATTGCAGATGCGAAGAAGAATGAAGCACACCTAGTGTTTTGTCGAATTCACCCATGGGCACAATTATAAGCTGATTTTCAAAAGGAAGGTGAAGGAAGGGAAGGAGAGACAACTGGGTGGGACCGAACGGTCTCCCTTCGCTTCATATTTATCTGGGATCTGGACCCATGGTAACCCTGAGCGTTTCCAAAACTGGGGACCTCGCCCGCTGCACGTCAGAGAGCGAGTGACGGCGAACTCGAGTAGATCTATCAAAACTTACCGTAGAAACGTACATCTGGGAAACAGCTACGCGACGCGGCTGTTAACAGCTCTTTTGCACTTGAGCGAGCCCTCTCATTGGCCAACAAGTGTCTTAGCGAGTCTTACGACAAGTCACTTCCAAACGGAGGCAGGTATAACCTACTCATTCCTTCGGGTAGTTTTGCAGATGTAACAAATTGTGAAAATTCGCACGTCGAGTCGGACCTATTCAATTTCGCTCAATTAGATTGTGCCTCACACCTTCATCGTTCTTGAAGATCACGATAAAAAAGTAAGTGCATAGTGCGCTACTGAGTGACCACTGCAAGATGCACTCAAACGAATGTCTTCAAACAAGAACACAAGTGAGGTGTGAAACATTTGCCAGGAGTTGTTAAGCCAGTTAAGGTCTAGCCACATTGAATGGACCCAGGCGATACTTACGGTACAACTGAGTGATACTTACCACACGCGTTTAGTCCTCTCAGGGTGACGTTAGGGTCACCGCCAAATTCTCATGTAACAAGAGATAGACAAAGAGCTTCAGCGAAAAGTGGGATGGCCAAGTCTCTTCTTAATGTTCCACCAATGTAAAGACCCTGGCGTTCTGCATGCAACCCGCAAAGTCCTACTGTTTAACCGGGGCCCACCAAGCAAGATCTTCTTTGTACCCGTAGGTGAGTCCCAATGAAAAACATACAAGAGAAATGTTTGAAAGAATTTTCTACTGGCTCTTTACCTTCCTCTCAAGTTTCCTCAAGGCGCGCCGACGGATATCCTTGTGCAAAGCGTGGGTATACGATATGAAGGCGGATTTCCACCCGATTACGTGGATGAGGTAATCGAGTAAAGCATGGCTCCAAAACGGAGTGAGGGTGCCAGGACGCTCCGTCATGGCGGCCCCACAGGCCAATCCAACCTTGCTCAGTGCTGCACGGACGTATGCTCGCGGCGTAGGGACTAGTGCGGATGACTTGCGAATGTTAGACATCTTGGATACCTGGTGAGCAGAGTGGTGAGTGTACACTCAAGCGAGCATAATTGAGCCAAGGTTGAGGGGACGAACGTACGACGAAGTACGTGTTGAGGTGCTGCACGATGATATTGTATTTCCAGACCTCCTCCGCGAGTGCGCTGGTGAAGGTGGACATGAATGCCTTGGTGCCGGAGTAGGTGGCAAGCATAGGGGAGGGGACTTGGCCCGCAAACGACCCAACGTTAAAGATTAAACCACGCTTACTGGACGAAATGTTTCATGGACGTGCAAGAAGGACAAAGAGTGCAGCGCACCGTTGGACCATCCCGGGGAGAACAGCATGCGTGACTCGGATCATAGTGTCAACGTTGATGATGACAATCTCTTCGTTTTCTTGGTCGGTGGTTTCTGCAAAATAGGTTGGCATGACGTGGGACTTTCCAACATTGTTAACTTCGGTGGGGTATCCATATTAGCATACGTCAAGGAAGCTGAGCGTAGATCCGTACCCAGCACCCCAACGTCCAAATTGCCGAGAAGTGACTTAAGGCCGCCGAACGCTTCCGTATCCTTCTTCGCGAAATCAAGCACGTATATTTTACTTTCGGCTCTTCCTGCCGTCCTCTCAGCTATGTGAGGTAAGTATTAAACAGGCCTACGATGAAAGGAGAGTGAATTCCCGCACCAATCTCGCTCGCAACATCTGACAACATAGCTTGGTTGCGAGCGACGAGAAGTACATTGAATCCAGCTGAACCTAGTTGCAATGCAAATTCTCTGCCAATCCCGTCAGAGGCACCGGTGACGACTGGATGAAACATCTAAAACCGGTCTATATGACACATGAAATGACGAACCAGCCCATGCACCCCTCATTGCGCCGAATTGCTTAAGCTAGGAGATGCCAAAGACTTGTCAGAATAGACTTGTTGGCTTGTAGAGATGCGCGGCATACGCTTTTACCGGAAAAGATAAACGTCTGGCTAAAAACGAGCCATGTCTTGAACAGGAACCGAGCGAGGGTGAAAGCACCGATAGATAAAATGACCACGTATGTCAAAGGACACACAGAGACTGGCAAGAACGTGAAAGTGAGTCCGAGCATTCAACGAAAGGAGGTACTGAACACGAATACCTTGCTTTTCGAGCCAGTTTTTCAAACAAGTGACAGACATCACACAACCAGAGCTCGTTTATACGGCGGTGTGAACCGACTGGGGCGTGTTACATAACAAAAATGAACGGCACACGCCGCCGACGGAACTGGTAAAACTCCCGACACGGTAACTACTTACGACGGACTTAGTACTTGGCATCTGCCAATCTACACTGCCAGGTGAACCACGCAGAATGCCGCGCAAAGACACGGGATCGGGACCCATATCCGCCCAAGCTCAGCAGGATCTCGTTTCAGAGGGCATCGAAAACTTCGAACTACCCAAAAGTCTGGTGACAAAGATTGCCAAGTCAGCAGTCAGTCCCCCCTCGTTCCTCGGACGCTGAACATGGCTGAGATCCCATTCTTCCGAAAAACTAGATACCGGATAATGCCAAATTACAAAAGGAAACCGTTCTGTCGCTCGTGAAGGGGTCCACCGTATTCATCAATTACTTGGGTGTGTGCTTGTACTCCTGTCTGTCAACGCTGTTATTCAGTACTCTCAAGCTGCGACGTAGGCGTCACGGATACTTTGTTACCCGCCCGCATCGATTCAACGACTCATTTTATAGCGCGCATGACGTGGCACTGTCGAAGCAACATAAGAGCATTTCTGCATCAGACGTCCTAAAAGCCCTAGAAATGATCGAATTCGGTGACTTGGTGGAAAAACTGCAAGAAGAGCTTCAAAGTGAGTCGATGCATCACATGGTTATCTCTCACGTATGTACCAACGGATTATTTTAGTCTACAGGGATAACACTAAGGGTGACAAAGGAAAGAAAAGTGCAGTTGTTCCCTCGGGTAAGGGAAAGGCTAAAGAAAGTGAGTCCGCGTCGGCAACGTCTCGTGCGAAAGGGAAGGAGAAAGCCACACCGTATTCAGAGATCACCTCGTCCGTCTCACAATCAGCTGCTGAAGAGCTCTATTCGGGTAGTCCTGTCAGAGACGAAGGGGAGATGGGTGAAGTGGTGGGGGATGAAGATGATGAGGGGGAAGTTGACGACGTAGTCGAGCATGACGAGGAGGAAGAACCTCTGGATACGATGCACATCGAAACTGAAGAACTTCAGAGAGACGCAGCCGAGCTTCATGAATTCCCCGCCGACCCATGATAAGAGAAGCTGCACCAGGTATGCAACTGAGGAAACGAACTAGTGGTTGCTACCTCTATGCCCCTCTAGAATGGAATACGAGCGACCTTGTTAGCGTCCCCGGATACCACCATGTTTAGGCGTATCTGGTGGCTGGTCGTGTTGCGTTGGGTGTGAAACTCCTTAAGTCATCAGACATTGACTTACCACTGAGCCATACTAGCTTACTGTGGGGATATAGGGTCCGAGAAGGTATCTACCTTTGGTAAGTAATGTGACTCCTCTTTCATGTCCTGCTCCGTCATACACAACCGCGAATCTTGGTCCATCTCCAACGATGACGGTATGAACGCCTTTGGGCGCCAAAGTCACCTACCTGACTCCAAACACGTGACATGACATCACGCGTTGATCCTTCTTATAAGATGTTCCCCGCTCCTTCTTGAGGCTATAACCACGCACCACTATACATGTCAACAACCAGAAAATCTCCTCGTAAAAGTAGAGGCTCGCGCTCCTCGCCCGATGTTTCGCCATCGGAAAGCCATATCACCACCACTCCGTCAAGCTTCCCCGACGTACCAGGTGCTGCCAAGAAAGATCTTGCACCAGTCTCCCCACCGGGGTCCAAAGTGCCTTTCCACAGATTCGTACATGTCGCCGTGCTAGGAGCAACACTGCTGCTAGTTTTGTACACTTACAGCATGGCGTCCTTGCTACACCAGGACGCCGCTTGGTGGAGGTTACTGCTAAGTTTACCAGCAAAGGTTGGGAGTAACATATGGGACTCGGAGAACAGAGTTCGAGTCGTCGAGGGAGAGACGTTGGAGGGTAGAATGAATGCCCTTGCAGACGTACTTAATGTCCCTGCTCGAGATGTCGCATCTGCGGTCAAACCGCTCGTACCGCCTGCGAGCTTGGCGAGCATGGTACCGCAGATGCAGGAGAGTGAGATGTCGGAGGTGTGGAGGGTCCTTATGGAGAATAAGGACGAAAGGAGTGGCCAGTGGAGCCGGCCGTCGGGGTCGGTCAGTGGACTGGCTGATACTTTGATCGCGATTTAATGACACGGTATTTTCAGTAATTCATGCGCGCGGTTTGCGCCTCCAGGTAGTATACACAACACGACTGTGCTCAGAGAAAGTCACTGCAAAATTTCCTGCCACACTCGCAACATGTACAGGCATGTAATTAGTATGCACCTCCACAGTCAATCCCAGGATTCAGGAGCTATGGGTTATGGAACAACAAGTAGTTACGTCAATATTACTGGTATGTCTATTACCATTGCCGGCGGTTCATTCGTGCCAGTGGAATTCCAGAGAGGAATCAAGAATAGGCTGCCGCGCACCGAATATACAACGTAATGATAGTGCCACATTGCGATTTGGTTTACTTGTGATACATTACAGTAATTGCTAGCGATAGGCAGTGACCCGCATGCCAACTCGGTTGGGGTAGATAACAAAACACCACGGCACAGTTACAAACACGTAGCTGTATCGATCACAACATTCTTTCACATCGCGACCCGCGTTTCCGGCGCAGCGAACGCTTCAAATGCGGGGTGATGGCCGCTTGATAGACCTGTGGAAGGTCCATCGTGAAGGCTACTCGTCAATGGGGTATCAGGCCAGGTGAACCTAGAAAAGGCGTATAGTCGCCACAAAATGGAAGAAAAGGTCTGCTCACCCAGGCATCATCATGTTGCCCCACCATACGTCATTCAAAGCACGCATGGACGCCAAAGCTCCTATATCTGTCAACATATCGTCCATGCCAGGCTCGCCGAGGTATTCGGGTCCGGGAGCATTCGCAGCGGGCATGGGTGGCGTTGTTGCAGGTGGAGGGGACCTAGAGGTGCCCGGGAAGGGACTACCGTTCATTTGCATATTGTCACTATCATACCGTGGGTACGAGGAGTCTTGTGATGATAACCCGGAGTAGTGCAGACGCGACGGAGATGATATGCACTGTTGTCCACCGTAACCGCGCGGTTGGGTCGAAGGTTTATGGACAGACTGGCTTGCCGGGGGTTGTGACTGGGGGTGCCCGCCGACTCCAGCTCCTCCCTTGCGATGCTTCGTAAGCAGGCTGGCAAGGAAACGGGCATAGAGGTGTGGTGTATGGCGTTCATCGATCGCAAGTTCTTGCAACGTTGTGATTAGTCGACTAATCGATTCGAATATTTCATCCTCCATTTTGTGTGTGAGGAACTGCGCAAACTCCGGACGAAGCAGCTTGAAGTGCTGTTAACATCCCTGACACAGTGATAACGAATTGCAAGACCGACCTTCAGCAAGAACGCGGACGCGAAGGAAGCGAAGACAAAATGCCCTGCGCGAATGTCAGAGATGGAAAACCTTCGTAGAAAGTGCTGTGATACCATCTGGCGAAGACCGCATAAAACCACTCGGCGCAAGAACTTCAACCACGTGCTCGATCACCGCAGTCGCAGCATCAAAACACTATGAGATGGTCAGCATACATCATGAAAAGTAGCGGAGCTGATCCACACCTTCTCAAGGAAAATCTGGTCGTTAGATTCCATCCCACGCTGGAATGCGTGTTGAAATCCAAACGAGTACATCACCAGCCTGGAATAGTTGACAAGACTGCAAGCTAACCGTCAGTCATCAGCATCGACATCAAGCACAGGAACGCTTACAATGGCAGGAGTTTACACCGGAATGCGGAACCAGGATCTGGGTTTATGTATAAGCGAATAAGGAACTTTTGAGGCTAACCAAAGGATCTTACCTGTATGATCGGAATCCTCATTGAAGCGCTTTGTCCACTCATCAAAGTACAGTGTGAGACGATTATCGTGTTCGAGCGTTACAGTAAGGAAATCGATAGACTGCAAGTTGTCAATGACAGTGACCGGCTGGTTTAGCGGAATCCCTACTCTGTTCAAGCCCGTAGGGGAATCAGGATCCGAGAAGACGTCGTCATGGAACTGGGCGACTATGCGCAGCAGCGCCGTGTACCCACACAGGTGGATATCATACTGTAGATGGTCAATACTAGACGGCGACAATGGGAAAAGCTCACCCACTTTGTCATTGTGTGGTGATTTCTTGTACCAATTGGCGTTCCGTATGATGTAGTCCTCTTTGATGGTGGATGGTTTCCCAAATTGGGTAGCCGTCGAACGATCGAGGTTGAAACATATCATCCACACCCGTATCCGGTTTAAAAGTTCGCGCTCTTGCCTCTCTGTCGTAGGTCGAATTTCAGATACCTGATGTAGGCTCAAATCGGTCGCAATCCTATCCACATGAAAAGAAGTCAAAACCACGACCAATGGTGTGTCGTGTCGGAGACCGACCTAATAGCCAAACCTGTGTACAACCAACTTCGGTCCTCTTCCCACCTGCGGGCAGGGACAGTATATAGGCTCATGAGAATATAAGCCTGACAGAGTTCTACAGACTTCCATCCATCAATGAGTGCATTGGCGGCTGCATGTTTCGCGAAGTGCATTGCAACCGGGTATATTTCTGACTTGTCGTAATAACGGGACGAGATTGCGCAAACTAGCAGGTGCGTTTTAAGTTTCCTTGCAGCCAGCCCTACATAAAACCATGACCACTCACTGACTGTAAAGAGGAAAGGACATCTTTGGAAAATCGTGGTCGGTGTATGAACCTTCCGGTCTAACAGGCTGATGAAAGGCTACAGGGCACGTGGTGAACTTTCACCTTTGCTCCTTTATATTAAAACGTACGTTGATTTTACCCCAGAATCTAGAGCATGTCGCTTCAGCCAGAAGTAACTAGTCCATAAATGGTTACACTCACATCTCGAACAGCTTCTCCACGTCGGCAGCGGTAACTAGACCGTGTAAGACGATGTCTGGTGGGCTATGTTGCTCGATCAAGTTTTTACGGATGTTGAGATTATTTGCAAGTCCTGAGGAGTAAGCGACAACAAACATTTCAATCAGCCTATGCCCATGGAAAATGGAAGTGCGAACCCACCTGGCATAAAGTACTCCTTATTGGCCACGCCCTAGGGGGTAAAGGGAGTCGCACTCAGCACAGCTACACACATGCTCAGGTTCTTATCACGCACCACGTTGTCGTCGTCTTCTTCAAGCTTTGTATTGGTGCTAGGTGTTCCAGCACTCTGACTTGCCCTGCCTTTGCCTTTATCCTTGTCCAAAGACAGACTGGCAAGGAGACCGATCGGCACCGCGGCATCCGGGAGAGTGCCTCTCACTTTTTCAGTCTCTTCACCTTCAGTCGTCTCATCGCCCTCTTCTATCTCGTCGGAGTCCTCCATACTGTTATCGCCAACCCCGCCCGCATTGTTATGCGTATCTCGAAGCTCGCGTAACATCTCCATCCTGGATGGACATGGCTGGGTTGGCGGTTTCGTACTTGACTGAAGACGGTCCATCCAATCAACAATCTTGACATTGTCCTTGTCAGAGGGCGAGGTGGCCGTTTTGAAGGCTGATATCGAAAGGGGAGTAGCCGTGTACGGATTGTGCAACTAAGAAACATTCGTCAGCGCTCTAAATGCAATGGCCAGCGTCCAAAACCCAGAAACCAACCTGCTTTAACAAAGACTCGATCATTTGGTCCTTGTGGCGGATTTGCGCGAGAAGGTACTCGCGTTTGCTGAAATGCGATAGGGTAGGTAAGTCCTGCGACATCGTCGACGATAAAGTGGTAGAAGAAGAAGTAGAAGTATCAGAGCGGAGGGAAGCACTCGATAAAGAACGCGGCTTAGGCATATCTCTAGGTCTTTGCAGAGATAAAATAAACAATAGGAAAGTGAACTTGTTGTAAAACGATGGACGGCAGGGGCCTTAAGTAACCCTCTAGGTGACCAAAATGCGGTGAACGAGTATGCGGGAATAGCAAGGCCGGTCCAGCTGCGCGCAGGAACGCTCCAAGATTGACAGATGGAAAGAAATGGAGGCAAACGAAAGAGCAGTAGGCGCATGAATCAAGGCACAGAGAAGGACCGGACGCCGAAAACCTCCAGCTACGTCCACCATACACCATCATCCACATGTTTCGCTAAGCCTATTCATCGGAGCCACGCGAGGAGACGTATGATCACATCATCTCTTTGCCACAGCAAGACCACCTGGGGGATTTGGCGCTCCGAGTTCCCAAACGGGGAAGAAGATCGGATACAGAGAAAGGTTTACGAAACATAATCAAAAGCCAAAAAAAAGCCAAGTACGAATATCCGCAGAGCAAAACAGTGATCAAGACACGGAATACTCACTTTGGAACAATTCTCGGCTTCCTTCCCTCCACGATGCAAGCGTAACCGGAGTGCGTACAACGCCTGCACGATGTGGCTCCTTCCGGGAACTCGCACTTCATCTGTGTGCCAACCGGAAATATGAGGAGACCGTAAACCGAAGTCAATGACCCGCAGAACGTGGCAGGCAAATGGTGTAGGTCAGGCCCATACACACGAATCAGGATCCAGGCAGACAGTGGACGGAGGTTCCGAAATATGGAGATTGCGATCGTCGCTCCGGGGATGGCGGACGTGTAGTCAGCGTGGAACGCGGCGAGAACGATATGCGCAGCGTACGAGAAAATACAGAAAGTGGAGGAAATGGAGGGGACCCGTACCCACCACGTATCAGGAAAGCGGAGACGACGTGGCCCGAAGGGGGTCCAAGCCACATAGGGCAGATCGAGACCAGTAAGAGGGAGCACGTTCCCAGTTTGACATTCGATGGCCGGGCCGTGACAGCGCAGTCACCATCCGCAGGCCACAGAAGTGAGAAGAAAAAGCAATCAAATGAAGCGCAGCGCCCAGAATTCGGCGAGAGCATGAGCCGGAAGGAGACATGTCAAGAAATTTTCAAGAAAGGAGAGTGGGGCAAATCAGAGCTGTGGTAAGCGACGGCCTAAGACACACAAGGTAAAACATTCACAAACCTTGAGGCGTTTGCAGTGCGAACATGCTCCAGCCCTGCACGAACATGACGTGAGGGCATGGCAAAAGAATTAGGGAAGGCATGTCGGAACGTTTGCGGCGGGACCAAGTCACCGAACCGGGGAGCGTTATCGAATGCGGGGCAGGCACAGCCAGTCCATAAAAGGTAAGCCGCAGTAGCCAATCCCAAACCATTAGCGGTTAGAGGCAGGACAGACCACAAGAAGCACAAGGGAACAAACACGATCGGGCCGTTAACGGTACGTCACCACGGTTAAAGGTGGACAGCAGCAGCACGGAAGAAGCATAGCGCATCCAAGAACCGCGAGGTAAACAACGTCGGCGCAAGTTCACCATCGAGCGGGGCAGTGTCATTTGTGTTTGTTGGCACAACACAGCCGGCGGCAAGGCGAGTGGGTGTCGGACCGGCAGTCATATAGTTACCGGTTCCGGTACCGTGCCACCATCCGTCGACAGATGTCCGAGGAAAAGCAAGGAGAGGGATCGCCGTCGCAGTCAGGGGAGTCGAGTCCGCAGAAGAGAAAAAATTGAGAATATAGAGGAGCAATGGTGGTGGTGAGTAGCCGAGTGTTAGGCGAAAGAAAGTTTCCAGGCAAGACCAGGGATAAATTCATACCATCAAACGAGATTTTCAGACGTGTGATGACGATCGCCAGACAGACATCACAGAGGCCGTATAATCATCCCAGCAGGAAGGAGACAGTCAAATAACACAAACGCTTGGTCAGCGCACTAAGCCGAAGACACACATGAAAACCACTCACTTTCGTGGTCCAGCTACCCCCGTCTCACCGCCGGTATTACCTTGTCCCCCTCCGGTCGCACCAGCGTCGGGCCCTCTACTCGCTCCAGGTCCTCCAAAACCGGTAGACGAAGGTTCGCAATCCTCTTCATCGTCGCTATCGTCGTCACTATCTCCGCCGCCACCGCCAATAGGAACGGAAGTAGCAGAGGCGTTGCTAGTCAACCCGGCCCTCAACCGTTTAGGGGCTCGTGCCCGCTTCCTGGTTGTGGGCGCCGCGCCTGTCGTGGCACTACCACTTCGAGTCCTAGAGGGGGCAGATTCTTGTGGTTGGAGTTGTCCCGCCGATTGTCCTTGACCCTTTCCACTTTGGGACACATTTCCACGTGCTGTCGAGGCCCCATGCGGGTACGGGGGCAACCCAGACCCCTGTTCCGGTCGGTGATTCCGCCCGCGACGGGGAGGATATTGATGCACCTTCCTCGCTGCTCGTTGCTGCGTCTGACCCTGGACACGACTCTGGAACGTCGGAAGCACGAACTCCGTGCTGACACTAACATGCTGAGCAGAATTAGGGCTATACCCCAGCCCGCCAGCCTGCTCAGCCTGCTCCGAAGCCGTAGATGGTGCACTCGATACCGAATGCGCTCCATATCCATGGTATTGGTGGGACGAACTCATAGGGAGACCTCTTACCGTCGACACCGACTCTGAGTGTCCATGTCCGTATCCAGATTCGCGCCTGCGGGTCACCCCAATATTTCCCTCCGCCTGCCCAGACACAGAAATGCTCATTTCGTCCACAGCGGGTACCGAAGATCCTGTCGGGTGATAGTTCTCCACCAAAGATGCATTTGGGAGATACCCGCCAGTGGTGGGATATTCGTCCGCGGAAGACGCCGTGGGAGGATGCTCACCAGCCGAAGAACCTGTGGTAGAATACCCGCCAGTCGAATAATCGATCGAAGATCCCGTCGTTGGATAACTCGCATAAGACGCAGGGGAGTGTGAACTATGTGAACGCGGATGGATATACGATGAATGCTTCTGAATGTAGGAATGCACATGTGAGCTCTGCGAGTTGGCGTGTGTGTCATGCGTATGCGTATGCGAGCCCTGTGATTCAGCATGAGGATTTGGATGTATCGAGAGCGAGCCTTCCGGACCTGAACCTGGGCCTGGAGTAAGGTATAGGTCAGTGTCAAGGTCCCGTGGTAATTCGACAGTTGAATGAGATTGGAGATGAACGTGGGTGAAAGGGACAGTGGAGCAATCATCCGACGTAGAAGGTGTGAAGGTGTCAGATTGAGTTGCCGATGACGCTGACGCATAACCAGCAGATCCGGGTGACGACCGTGGCGAGCAGGTCATCGCCAGCAAGTACACCAATGCAAATAGGGGGGACAAAGTTAAAATCGAACGAAGAGTTGAAATGAGCAGCCAGAGAGCATACGTGAGAGAAGAAAGCGAAGGATGAAGCGCCGGACACATGACCAACCACATGGGTCCAAGAAAAAGAAACCGAATTGAGGGAAACGAGCACTCGCGCTGGAGCGCACCATCCACACCTCGAGCACTCACACGTTCCGAACGGGACACACTTCGTATTAGGAGTACCCGTTCCGGTAGGTCACGCACGCTCGACCTGATGGCATGCATGGTAAGAGCTGTACACAGCATCCTTATTCGGTTCCGGGGAATGCTCCCTATCCAACCGGGGTAAGCAAGCTCCCCCCCCCTCTTGGTGCCACATACCCAGAGAAGAGAAAGTAAAAGTAAAATAAGACTGCAACACTCACCACCGTCACTCATCAGGGGTGCTTGCATGTCCCCTGGCGGAGTGCAACCCACAAATCCGCCCGGTGGACTGGGCGGATGTGTAGACGGGTCACGTGGTTCCGACACCCTAGTTTGACCTTGACGTTCCGAAGCCGAGATAGGGACTTGAGGGACCCGCATGGTGTCCATGTCCCGCAGATGGAAGGTGGTGCCTGTTCCTGCGCCAGTAGTCGGCTTCCCCTATCGTCGAAAGGCGCGTGAAGAGGAAAATGTCATGTCAGTTCAGCTCGAACACGCCACTGTGAGGAAACAAGAAGAAATACAGCGGTTGCAATGTACGACCGTACATACGAATCAATACACAAGCGAACAGTGGGCTCACCATGACCTGTCCGATAGAAGAAGAGGGTACACCGTATAAGGCTTCCTCCACGGACCCAAAAAGGAATGGGATCCCGACATGGCCAGGTCTCTGCTGCACCGTGGACGATGATCCAGGTCTATGCTCACCAACACTCTGCATTGCCGCTCCGCCGCTGCCACTGTCTGTTCTATTGTCGGTCGTAGCCTGACAGTCTAATGAAGAGGTGGACGACAAAGTTGCCTGGGCGAGTAGCTCCTGTGTGCGTTGATGTATGATCAGTTGTGTTTTTGATTGTTCTGGGTCTGTCCGTTGGTGTTGCTGTTGTTGGGGCTGTTGGAATTTGTGGATTTTCGGGAATCGAGATTGAGAAAGACGGCATGAACGGAGTTCGCGGGGGTCAAAATACCGTCGGACACAACGAACGAAAGTCAGCGTACCTGCTGAGGTTGCGAAGCTGGACTTTCGTTTTCTTGATTTTCTTGCATTTGCGATAAGGCAGTATATGGATCTCTTCTGTGTAACTGGACGCGTCTCAGCGGAGACGGCACGATCTGATGACGCGTTTGCGTGTACGCGTGTGGGTATGAATGATGGAGTGCCTGTCCTTGAACAGGGTGTGAAGGCGGTACAAACGGGAACATGCCTATGTTGTATCCGGTAGGATAATAAACATCATCCGTACCCCCATCAAACGCTTGAGGCTGGGTATGTGACTGGGTGGGCACGGGGGGTGGATGTTGGGCGGTAGGTGGAAAGGTGGCGTTCCATGCACCAAGTGGGTGTGGATATGATGTTAGTGGATTTGGACTGAAGAGCGGGAGAGTGTCTGACGGCATGGCTGGAAGGGAAGGGGAGGGAGCTGTGGACGCGGATGGTGGATTTTGATGTGCTGCTGCCCACGGCCTGGGCTGGGGGTCAAGGGGGTAGGGCTGAGTGTGGAAGTGGAAGGGGTGGTGGTGGGACGAGGGTCGTCTGAATCCTGTAGTATATATACGTACACGACTGCATCAGAGAGCGGAGGGGGACATACCACCGGGAGCCTGATCATTAATATCACCACTGGACATGGGGCAGAGCCGATAATTAGTGGCGTCGAGGAGGCCAGTGGGGACTTAAGAGGAGATCTGAATTGCGGTCGTCAACGTGGATGCCCCCCTAGGATGAAACGTAACGCGATGAGGATGAGCTTCTGTGCTGGTTCTGCCTAGTCTGGCAGATAAAACGAGGGTGAGCGGATGTCCATGTGGTCAGTAATGCATTTTGCACGGACCTTGCACAACCAATAGCAGCGATGCGCAGTGCTTGCCTCGGTGTTTGTCCGACTCGTCGAGACGCCTGGAGATTCCTTCCTGGCCCATCGCGTCGTTTCCGATTATTTTAAGTCTCTTTAACCTCCAGCAAACCTGGACTACACACACACGCGGTGCAACACCCCTTCGACACAGCCACTCCCCCGTCATTATTTGCCTCCGCGGCAACCCGGCAATCGTCTGAGTGCTCTTCCGGGCGACAGCCGTCCCTCCGTCTGAGTCAGCCTCTCCGCTCTGCCATTGTATGCATGCATGTATGTCCGTACCGCCACCCATTTCCGCCGTGACGCGTGACGGAGCGAGTGCACCACACCCCGGAGCGCCTTGCACACCCAGCTTTGCTCCGGAGCGAACTTCATTCCGTCACTATGACGATCACAACTTGACATACACTTACATCATAGTTCGCCCCCGTCGTCTGTTCTTTTTTAGGTCGTAGGTAATGAAGGAAACAGATGCTAGTAAGAACGGGCCCCGACACTAGACACTTGCAACACTGAAAACCCCATATCGGGCCTTCCGAATCCAGTCCACTCAGGAGTTCGTTCGCTCTCTCCTGCCTCCATGTACAACGCATCGCCTTGTTGACGAAAGGTTCCGGCGCACCCAAAGGACAAGCGTACCCCTGTCGGGGAACAACGCTACCACGATTCGCTCAACAGGACGGTACTAACGGATCAATTCAACCAAGAATAATCTAAAGAAGGACTCGAGAATGCCTAACAGCGGAATCAGGCCCCGTCCATCCATTGCAAAACTACCCGTTGTAATCGTCCCACCCCAACCAAGCCACTACACTCCCGAAAGCCTCTACCACGAAATTTATCTACCCAATTCATAGTAGTTCGTCTCTGTGTCGACGGTATTTCATTCACCTTATCCTCAGACATCCGGTAGTGACTGCGATTCCCGTCAAGCTCCATCCTGCACCCTGGAAACGATCAACGCACTAACTTGCTCCCTCCTCTGAATTTCTGCCTATGCGCTCCGTATCATGCGGAATAATATATATCCCCCTTTTCGGGGTCGTGTGTAGCTAAAAATGCGGTCATGTATGTAATTCTATCCGACTATGTAGGGCCCCTCGACTGTTAATCGATGCACATATTTCACTGGTATGTCCACCAACTATGCCGAACAAGTGGGATATGGAGATTTGCATCTGTTCCAAGCGTGCTTATCCAAGTCGGAAAACTTCCGTAATACACACGGCGACCTTCTTTCCACTTGAACTATGTACATAGGACAACCCCCCAAAGACATGTACCATATTATCTGCAATACGCGTGTGTAAATCATCTCACTATCCTCGTCCCTGCTTTAATACCGGAATTTAATCAACTCGCCACTCGAGAAAGGCTCTCGTGACAATTATGATACGTACCACTGACGAAAACTGACGGCACTCCGCAGTCATCCCTTAGATAGAGGCGAGTCTCGAATCCCATCGCCGGCGGTGCGTGGATAAACTGACCTGCATCTATATTTGTACCCGTGACCCCGCCACCAGGCGCACAAGAGAGCGGTGATGATGATGCCCAGAACCATGCCCACCCCAAAGCTCACAGGGATAGCATAAGGAAGGACGCCTGCGTCAGATAAGATCTGACGATCGAGTTTGGGAAGAACAGGTTGCAAAGACGTCGTGGACGGAGGCAACGCAGTGATGTACACTATATGGGACGTTTTCGTCTTCGTAGATGTGCCGGGACGCGACGTCGGAACGCCTTGAACGTCAAATGAGTAAGGAAGTGTCTTGGCTGAGAGAGGTGCCGAATCAGAAGAGGAGCTGGACACGGATGATTCGGCGCCTGATTCGTCGGCGAGGACTAGTGCTGGGGCCACAAGCATCTTGTCAATCCTCTTTCCCGTGTTCACATCTTCTCTATCGTCAAATATCATGGTCGGGCCCTAACATCAAAACCTTCACGCGGGACTCTACACCGAGAGCTGATGAATCAAACCCAGGCTTATCCTGCGAAAGCCCAGCAGCGATAAATGTTGACCGACGGACTAGAAACGAGGATGGCGAGTATGCGGCAGACGTAACGCCAGAACGTCTAGTTTTCTTCCAGAACGCAGTGGGTCGGACTGAGAGTGGGGAATGAGAGACAAGAACGAAAAGCGTAATCTGTATGACTCAACTTACATAGTAAAGGGGGAGGCTTACAGAGCTCGGCACCCTTATTTTGGACAACAGCCTTGAGCGAAAATGAGTGCGATCGCCTTGGAAAAGCGTACGTGAGGATCTCCTCGAAAGTGCGGGGTGAGGACGGGGTGACAGGCGGCGCATTAGCAAAGTCAGACGGTAACCGCACGGAGGGAGCCCTGAACGTATTCTTTGGAGGGGCAAGGAATTCAGACGAGTTCAGCACGCGAACCCGAACCGGGGAAGGCGGAGATTCGTCCGCTTCGTCTACGCTTTCAAGTACGACCATGACAGGCTTCTGGGAGTGATCATGGAGACTTGGACGTGCTTTGAGACGGAAACTTCTGAGGGAGTGACTACGGTTAGGATAAACGGACGTAGGAGAGACAAGGACAGTCAAATCTGACATGCTGCAGGTAGAAAGAAACACTGACCTGCTTGCCAGAATTTATACACAAACCGGCGGGCTCCCACGGCAATATTATCTCATGATATATATGTATGTATGTATGAGGCACTCTGAAATTCGACTATGAAAGTCAGTAGTAACTAGTTGTAGCACATACGCTCGGCCGCGGTAGGACTGTTATCAGCCTTGTACAGGAACAAAGACCCACCCAAACGCCCTCACTTCGCTCCCCTTGTCACCGAAATACCTTTCCGTTTCGTACAACCAATTCACAAACCCAGCTACCCAATCCCTCAAACCCTGCACATAGCTTCTAATGCTCTCATTTCCGCTCTGGGTGTCCATCGTCAACCCCTGCAACAGAGCCCGTTCAACATCCAGAAACGCGTTGACGCGCCGGTTGACGATGTTTCCTGCCATCACAAGCGCACCTTCCAGCGACCCACTCTCAATAACGGAGAGAACGTTTAACGGATCTATCGGTGTTCCTTTTGCACAGTAAACGATGTCCTTTTTAAATTCATGGATCAGCCTCCGCGCCTAGTGGGCGAGTGTGGTTGATATGTGCGTACCTCGGACAACGCAGCAATATCACACGCACAATCTCGCAGTATCTCCAATCTTTCATTTGAGAGGAGGTTTTCAGGTAGACGTAGGTCCCCTGCATACGCGATCATTTCGAGCGGCATGAGGAACCCGCAATGTTGCCTCCGGAAGGATATGTAGCGCTCGAGATTGCCTACGTCGAATGCTGGAGTCTCGCATCTCGCGTGGAGAAATGCACGCTGGGCTTTGTGGAAACGGATATACCACGCTGGATTCCGGTACGCCGCAGAAGAGAGGCGATCAGATAGCCTGAGAGAACGATGAGATTATGAACATGGCAATTTGGACGGAGCCACTCACAACGAGAAGATCCCTTGTTCAGTCCGAGTATCAGAACATTCACTCTCTGCGTCACTGTGATCATCCGTCGACGTTCCCAAAGTCTGATGATCGAGCTGATACACCAACAATCCAAGCACATCTGCGATCAATCTCAGCTGAGGCGCATCTGTTGTAGGATAACAAGCAGCTGCCAACAGTCCGACTTTCGCCGATCCCCATTTCATTGACGGCAATGCAACCCGAGAATCGAGGAGCCATCTTTCGGATTCTAGCGAGATGACCTTGCAGTGTCGGTTTGTGCGCAATTCGAACGGACTGCACACGGCGAGGAGATCAGGGAGTTGGATACATATCGTGTGCGATGACTGTCCTTCTACTGTTGTTCTCGACTCGTTCATGGAAGTCACGGTAGCGAGCGGCATGTAGTGGCCGGCATGATCAGGTCACATCGCAAAAGGGGCATTATTCCAGCCATCACACAAAGGAAGCAGTAGCATTAGTGGCAAGTCACTGAAAGGCAATGTACTGAACACGAGGCAAGCACAAGTTTGGGTATATAATTAGCAGACAAAGCAGCTTTATCTTCGGACCAGCACGACGTTCTTCATCACTACCCTTTTTTCTTTATATTTCAAGGCGAGCTCGACCATCAATCGTTAGTGGGTGCCTTCAAGCCACGTCATCCAGTAAATCACTAGTCCCTGAATCCATGCTCGGGAACGCCGTGTGGTAAGTATTGCTTTGTCCGGATTGCGAAGTATCTCCTAACTGATCTCCGAGTCCAACAGCTTCACCACCCCCAAAGCTAGTACAACTCGACGAAAATGGGTAACAATGGCTTGCATGCTATCACTGGCTCCGCTTCCCTGTGCAAGATGGTCCCTTAGATGAGGTATATATGTAGGGCTAACGCGCATCCTCATGCCCTGGCACGTCCTAAGCTCTTGCGCATAATTCCCCAATACGCTTTTTGAGCCAGGATTATGACGACTAACATTCAAAACGGGATTTACGTCCTCACGAATGTTGAAGCAACAAATATCTGTCTCGAGATCTTAGGACCGGAACGTGGGTACTCCGGTATGTCTCACTTTTGTCCTAACATATTCCGTCTTTCGTGACTGCATTACGTGTGGCGCTGGTGCTAACGCATTCAAGTTGTTGGCAAAGAATTCCGAAACCATGAAAACCAAAAGGTGAGCTAAAATCGTTCCGCATTGGTCGAAGACGACGAATGGTAACGATTCTAACAACCAACGACAGTGGTTATTGCACCGTGACAGCGATGGCATCTACGCGATTTATTCCCTCCCGCTTTCACTCTTTCTCAACACTGCAATCGACCCAGAGTACGGTGCTAGACTAGTGGGAACGCCCTTTACGTTCTGGTGGGGCATCGAGAGCGAACCCGGTTTTGAGGATACATTTAGGTGGGTGTTTTTTCTTCGGCGTCCGATGATTCAAGACGGTCTAAGGCAGCTGGGCTTCATAATATTATATCATAGGTTGTGCGTTCCGCATACTTGCCTGGATGTCGAGTTTGCGAACAATGGGTGTTTCATGCCAGATAGCCCCGCAACGTTGGGAGAGAGGTCTGAAGATCACAATCAGCTTTGGCGTCTGCAAAAATTTGCATGGTAGAGGGCTTGCATAGGGGAGCGGTGCGAGTACGTACTATGCATTCACATACACCAAGAATGTACAATTCTTTGATATCGTCGATCCCGTACATACGTACATGTCGTCATACAAATCTATGGAACGTTGGCACTCCGTGGGACCGTGGAAAACGAAAAAGTGAAAATAGATATATTTACGTAATGGAAGGCATTGCTATTCGTCATTCACTGGAGCTGAAGTTGAGCTAAGGGTATGTTTTGAGGTGCAAACCTATGCTCAAACCAACATTCGCGAAGGTCGAACGCAGCGTGGTCCTACGGCAGTGATATACCTTTGACCTGCCCAAAGCCAGCAGCTCGCGAGCTTGTGGGTAGGTGGCTGTTTGTGCCGTTACGGAGAAAGGCAACAAGGGCGTTGCGTGTAGCCACAGCCTTGTCAGAGACAATAGAACGGCAAGTATGGAACAATGACATGCTCCCAACACGCAGCTGACGGAGCCACCTTAAATCATCCCAGGCTAGTCTTGCCTATCCCTTCGTGATAGCTGGCTACCTTTCTCTGGTCCGTGACCCTTCTTCCAACCCTGTTGATGCTTTCCTCCGTCGCCCGGCTGCGACGCCTTGCGTCTTTATTTCTCGCCCTTTCTCCTCTCGTTGCCTGCCAAGGCGACACCATTTGTAGGTCCATCCCTGCTCCTTCCTTGCCACAGGGACTTCACTTCCTCACTAGTTACATCTTCTGTTACTTACTGCTCAGAACCGGACGCTCTCCTTATTCAACAATTCGAAATTATCTACTTCCAGCAGAACTCGTCAGTGTGGTTTAACATCTCGGCGGCGAGCGTGGTACGTCCGTCAGTCAATCTGTTCACTTTATTCTGCTGAATATTTGTTTAGCAACCGGACGTAAATGTGTCGGCCAATGTCTTCCTGAATGTATACGGGATGCATCCCGTGAATTATACAATCGATCTTTGCTCTCTGTTCAATGGTGCACTGTGCCCGCTCCCGACTTACAATTTCACTGGTTCCGACATCGTTCCCCTCCCATCGTCATTGGGCTTAAATCAGCTGGTCCCCGAAATAACATTCAAGATTCCGGACCTCGAGGCGTAAGTTCTGTTGCAGAGGTGTCCTTCTTATCTCATTGCATTATAGCTATGCTCAGTTGTCGCTGACGGAGGTGAATACTGGGGCATTAAAAGCCTGTGTTCAAGCCACATTGTCAAACGGTTGGTCTGCCCATCAAGTGGGGGTGGAATGGGCAACAGGTGGTCTGGCCCTCCTCGCACTGCTTTCCGCTGTCTGGTTCTCAGTCACGCCGGACAGCCTTCTCTCCTTCCGTTTCCTAGATCTCTTCTATCTCTATCAGTGGGCAGCCTCGACCGCTCTTCTGGACCTTAATTATTCCTCGGTTTATATCGCCTTTGCAACTAATTTTGCATGGGCGTTGGGCTTGCTCTCTGCGTCCGCGAACTCCCCCATCCAGCTGGCGATCAACAACATGCGGCATCTCACCGGCGGCACGATGGCTGACTCATCAGGAGGTTCTGCAGTCGCCTACGTTAACAGAAAGCTCAGCCCATATAATGCTGCTGCTGCCATGTTTGTCTCTGGAACATCTCAGCTTCTTGAGATAAATCAAGAACTGGTTCTGATCGGGTCAAATTCGACGTTAGCAAATTACGCTTCGCCTGCAACGGAGCAACTGGATAGTGCAGGTACCGTGCAACTCGTCACTTCTTCGTCTTCCAACGTCCTGCAAGCTGGGATTCCTATTTATGTCAACTATGTTGGGATTGCGACTGCAAATGCGTTCATGACCATGTTCCTGACGGCCTTGATGGTTTTTGCTATATTCCTTGTGGCCGTTGCCATTGGATACGGAATTGTGGCCTACATAGCTCCTCGAAGCCGTGAAAAAGCAGGTTTTCTCCCAGATCTCCGGGAACGATATACGGCTTTGGCTCGAGCGTGGCTTCTCCGTTTGGTACGCTTCATTTCGTTATGAGGAGTGCGTTGTCTCACCCGAAGATGACAGTGCCTCATTGCCTTCCCGCCGGTGACAATATTTGCCATGTATCAATGGACTCTTGCGGATTCGTGGCTTTCTATCCTTCTCTCCGTCCTATGTTTATCGTTGGTTGGGGGATACCTCTCGTATTGTTTGTTTCTTATTGTTCGCCTTGCGGTTCGTGGTACATCATCTACACTTTACGCCGACCCCAAGTTCCTGACTTCCGGCGCGCCCCTCTTCGCGCTATATCGGCCTGAGCGGTACTATGCCGCTTTACCTCTACTCGTCGCCACTCTGCTCAAGGCTATTTTAACTGCGTTTGCCCATGCAAATGGTGAAGTGCAGATTATATTCATCCTGGTCGTTGAGGTGGGGGTACTTGCGACTCTTATAGTTCTTCGCCCGCACAAAACCAGAGGAGCAGACATTCTGGTTACTTACCTGGCAATTACCAGAGTCGTTTGCACTGGACTGCTTGTCTCCTTTGTGGAAGCGATCGGTCTGGGCGCTATCCCTCGCGTGATAATTGGTATCGTTGCTGCCGTTTTTATATCAGTGGCAGTCATTGTCATGTTCATCAACGTACTCGTCAACTTGGCGGCACCTTACTTCAGGAGACATCGTATCACAACATCCACCGATTTCTCAGCGTTAGAGAAGGGAAGACCTGGAGATGAGGAGACGGGGCGGCCGGTGAACCCTACACCGGAGCAAATGGTCCCTCTCGACCCATGTGTTAATCAACCGTATCCCGACAGTTCGTCGCAGACCTCGATGGAGGAGGACCCGAGTGTTTATACGCAAGAGTCGGGAACCACCACACTGGGTTCCCTGATACCACGCCAGTCGTCCCTACAGCCTTCTCAACAATCTCATTCGAGGAACAGCTCCATGTCGCATTCCCGTAATTCCTTTTCTCAGTCGTCAAACTTCGTATCGAACAATGCATCATCACCACAACAATCTCTCCCTCCTTCACCACTCTATTCACACTTGCAGTTGCATAGTAGACAGCCAACAATCGATGAACTTTCAGTCACTACTACTCATTGTTAGATCGGGTATTTCGCGTGTTTATGGGACATTTCGCAGACCCCGTAGCCATTTCCTTTTGCCTTGTAGTTACTGCGTATGTTTTTCCAGACGACATCACCCCGGTGTAATACTCGTAGATGTCAATTGTCGAGTCGTTGCACTTGGAGCTGCTGGGGGTTTTCTCCAGAACAAATAAATGGAGAGGGCAAGTGGCTTGGTGAGTTCATGATAAATCAACACATTAGCTATCCTTGACATTAGCTTAATAATCTAAGGGCCTGAATAGGGCCGCTCAAAGTTAAATGCGGAAAAAACACGCGAGCAAACTCAAGTGCGGTTGAGTTGTGAGTTTGTGGGCAAATATTTAAGCTCTGACTGGAGATTCAAACTCCGCCGAAAAGCGTGCATGCTTACTAACAGAGATCTAGCAAGCAATAACAAACTGGTCCTAAGTGTTCCTCGGAACAACTCACCAATGAGGCAGGCAATAGTCTGCTTGCCTTTTCCTTCATATCTCTCACTGAGTTTCTTCCATGTCTCAGCAGCAGTTTTCACATATAGTACTCCACTAAGGGGTTCATCCTTGAAGATGAGTGTGATTTGCACACATGCTTCCTGGTCCTTGAGGAGCCATTCCTCATACTTGTCAGGATGAGTTGTCTGGTCTGGAGGTTTTACCTCTGTCTGTACCAGCAACAATGGTCCAGAGGCCACAAACTGTTAAGACTTTTTGCATTTGGAATTTCCACATTTGATAGTTTGAACCATCGTCTACAAGGGGAGCTATGTCATGGAGTTGACTCAAGCCTTGCAAGACTCTTGTAGAAGTAGAGGCTGATGTATTTGCACTTGTGGATGGGCCTAGAGCCCAAGACATTGATGCCAAAGGTCCAGATGACATGTCTTATTGTATACTGTGGTACCACTTGGTTCAAGTTTGCTACTGTAAGGTTAGAGCTGCTCAGGGCTCATAACCTCTTGAAGGTAGGCTGAGATGAGGGACCTAGGAAGGAGACTCAGGCTTCAGTTAGAAGAAGTCTTATCACAGCTAACCTAGGAAGGAGACTACAGCAGTAAGTCAGTAAGGTAGCTATTAATAAAGGAGAACAGTTACCTCAGGCTTCAGTTAGAAGAAGTCTGAGGTACACCTGAAGGAAAAACAAACATCCTAAGTGTGAAGAATTATTATGTAAGCTTGTACAATGTAAGCAAAAGTCAAGTAAAAGGGACAACACTTCAACAGTTGCCAATCAGATGGTGCCACATCAGTGGATGTTGTCACTGATCCCAATCTTATCCATGCAAGCATTTTGACAAAGGAAGGGTCCACTTTTGCATGCTCATTCTGGATGAATTGAACAATGTGAGTTAACAATCTCCATAGGAAAGCTCTGAATAATTGATGCTGCACCTTCACAGTTTCAGATGAACACCTCAACAGGTTATTCACAATGGCATGTGAGTACAAGGCAGTACCATTCACAGGGCAAAGTTGTGCCATATCTCTGGCAAGGGTGGCATTGGTGCCCCCAGACAGCTTATCCTTTTTATCTGGGTCACCAGCCTTTGCAAGGGTTATGCATTTTGCTACATTGGAAAGCAGCTCAGCAGAAACCATTGAAACCTCATCCAAAACCAAATATGTGACATTGCACCATATCTCTTGTAATTCATCCATGTCAACATTCTGTTCATTGGTATTGCACTGATCCTGTCTCTTGCCTTTGCCCAGGGAACAAGAATTCATGAGGGTGCACTTCAGGTAACCATTTTTCATAAGCATTTAGGCTGAATAGTTTCTCCAAACCATCCAGCCTAATAGCCTCCCAGACCAAGGTCTGCCCAGGGACATCTGGTCATGTCCCAGGGCTATGCAGATTTTTAGGCCCTGGGACAGATGGGATTTCCCACATAGCCATCCATTTCAAATGCAATTATTTGGGATGTCCCCAGACTGCCTTGGGTGACTGGGGTCCCTACTCCTGAAAGTGCAGCTTATATTAGCATTGAAATAGCTGCAGAAATCCTAGCCCCCTTGCTCCTCTGACAGATTTAATCCACAAAGTATCCTTTGACCTATACATCCCCTCCCATCCCACCATGCATAGTAGTATACAATAGTACTTTTCATGTACATCTTTGTGATGTGATTCTGCTGTATTGGGACATCTCACTAGTTGCCAGGGAGATGACCCACCTGGGCCTCCACATTTGCCTTGAAAATTGCAATAATAAATTCAATCAATTTGTGTCTATACCTCATGCAATTTGTACTGTATGAAGGAAGAAGTGAATGGTTTTTGAACACTTGTGTGACAAGCCAATATCTCAAAGTCCCCCACATAGAACATGGGGTTGGTCACCTTTGCAACACCATCTGCAGAGGGCAGAATGTCCCAGATGAGCCTCTGAGGTCATCATGGGGCATTGTGCTGGTCTGCAAAGGTAACTTAGGAGGATGTGCCATCATAGCCCTCTGAGGCTGGGATGGGACATCCCACCCTCCCCTTTGCCAACCAGTGGGATGTCCCACAACAGCCTCTGAGCAAGTAGGGAATGGTGCATTGCTCTTCACATAGTCTTGTTCCCATGTCACTAGTTTACCCCCATGCTACTGATATTAGTACCTGGACAATATATATTTGCTCAACTGTTAGAGCACTGGTTATCACCCAAGAGGTTGCTTCAATCCCAGCTCTGGTCACATTTCCATCATAAGGCTACATTGGGACATCCCACTTCCCCCTCTGGCAGCTGGGGGTAGTGTTGCTGTGGCTCAGGGAGCTGTCCTAAGCCAAGGGCCATACCACATCTATATTATTGAGTATTAAAATAATTATTGTGGATTTGGTATGTGGCAACACAAGGCTACATTTGGTAATAGTTGTCATAGTGACTAAGCTGCTTGTTGTTGAGCAGGTCAGCCTTTGGAGCTGAGCCACAGCAACACTAGCTGAGGCTATGTCCCAGAACACCCTCTTGGGTTATATTGGGACATCCCACCCCACTCTCCAGCAGCCAGTCCAGTGGTTGTAGCACCTGGTGAACATTGTGGTCAGGTACTCATAGATAAACATGGAAAAAAAGGAGCCACCATGATTGGACCATTGGATCCTGAGCTACATGCAAAACTGTCTCACTGCCCTCTGAACACAAAAACAGTGATATCTCAATAGTGGCTCCATGGAATTAGACAAAAGAGGCCCCCCCAGAGAGGTCTCAGCGAGGGGAATGAGTGGTGCAAAAAGCAATAGGAAAGGCACAGGACTGAGTGGAGAGCCACAGACTTGTCCCCCAAATCTGATGGTAACATCATTGCTGACACCAGCAACATCAATATACAAGTGATGCATGACAAATATGTTGTAGGGGAAGCAAAAACTACACTAGTAGTAATCTTCATTTATATACTCCTCAGCAAAGTCATCCTCATATTGTGCAGCATTACCCCTGTTAACCCAATGAGGTTCACCTGACTGGGTTGGAGGGTAGTAGTTGTTAGTATATGGACTGTTGTAGAAAGGATGGTTGGTTTGAGATGGAACATGATGGAATCCTTGGCAAGACAGAGGAAATTGATTGTGGTGGCCAGAAGGTAATGCCTAGAGAGAATGCAAGTCAATGGTGAAACCTCTGCAAAATCAAATTACTCACATGATATGGGATATTAGATGGGCCAGGATCATGATAGTTCATATAATCACCCCAAGAATCCTACATAATTTTTCCTTAGTCTTGTTACCAAAGGTCAGAGGCCTGGATACTCACTTGTCATCTGGGAAAAGACTGCTGGGCTGGGCCAGCCTCTCACATGTGAGGATGGCTTGGAAGATTATCCCAATGTAGATCCTATACAATGCTTCATTAGTCTTGTTATCAGACCATAGGAACCAAATCCTACCCCATATTGCAGAGTTGGTGCAGGAGGCTTGGATGGGCCAGGCTCTCAAGTGTGCACATTGCTTGGAATTGTGGACAGGTCACAGCATGAGTCTTGCACAATGGGGCACACATCCTAGCATTGATTGCATGGTGCAGTTTGATGGTCAGACTGTAAAGCCTTGCAAATGTCAGCAGATACTGGATATTGAGTAAAGAGCAGAACTTACCTGGGGACCAATAGTATTACAATTTGATGCCTCCATGCAGGGTCACTTCCAAGAGGGAAAAGGGAGTTGTTGCTGCAGTCAGGGTTGTGGCTGTTGAAGGACCTCTGTGCCTTGCTGCTGGTGATCCATTTCCTTGAGGGACTTCTTCCACTCTGGATCATCTGAGATCTGCTGAAAAACAGTACCATCAGTAGCTTTGATGAGTGTGATCTCACCCTTCAAAGGGTCAGCATCCAAAATATTGATGACCTCTACACAGAACTTCAGCATCCAACTGGATGAATAAAATAGGGAATACCTTCATTCCAGCACTTAATCTCAATTTCCAGCACATCATCCAGTCTATCTTGTTCTTCCTCATCATTGGTTTGCCTGTCATACAAAAGACCCAGTTTTCTCCAAAGGTAAGGTACTACAAGTTGACAAAAAGGGCCAGCCTTAAGTTTCTTGTACTTGAAAGCAGGGCCCAGTGGAGATACACTATGGGTCCAGTTGACAATAGTGAGGTGGCTCTTCTGCAAAAACTTGAGAAGCTGGTGCCAGGAAACTTTCTGGGGATCACTGACTTCAATGCCACATGTGACTGAGCAAAGGATCAAGATAAATGCACATACAGCACAAGAATCACTTACCATGCAGATCTCTCAATGCAGCCAACATCTTCTCCTTCATCATGCTTCCAAATACTCTGTGGTTGCAGTCTCTCAGAGTCTCCTTTGTACAGCAATGTAGTTCCAGCACAGAACCCACATCTCCAATGGAACCAGTGCCAGCCACCCTGGCATCTGCACCATCACTGTTCCTGAGACACCTACAACAATCCAGTGAGGTCAAATGAAACATGCAAGAAATAAACTTACTTGAAAATTGTGGTATACTTATCCATGAGTGACTGGACATCAATGCCATTTTCATTGATGAAGTTTCTTATTGTCTCAGAGCCTCCAAATATGCCAGAAGTTTGATATCCTGCAGGGTCCTGTCCAACATACATTACCACTCCAACTATCTCAATATCCTTGAGTTTGGACCACACCTCCACCTGTGGAATGATCAGAATTGATGGCTGCACAGTTGCAACCACATACCAATCCAGAAAATTGTGTCTTTGCATTGTCCACTCTAGCTGCAATAGATTTGACAGATTGATTAGTTGGTATGGCAGAGGAGCTCTCACTCCACTCATAGACAGCTTTAAACTTTTCCCTCCTTGTTGCAAAGTCATCCTTGGGGATGCCTATCATGAGGGTGTTGTACTCCTTCGTAATCAAATTGTTGATTGAATTTCGATCAGCTGGTCAGGACATTAGAACAGTAGATGTGAGAGGGAGGAAAGCCATACCACCATCTGGTTTGGGCTGTGTGGCCCAATACCATGAATGGAAGAGGTTGGCCTCATTAATTTTGGTATGAGAAGCCTTAACACTAAATCCCACAGCAACAAGTATGTTGCATGTAGACCACCTGTGCCATTGGCCAAGTTCTTCTGCCATTGTCTTGACATCCTTTGCAAAAGCATGTATCTCATCTAACACTGCTGTGGACAGATTCCCTCACTTCTTGAGGTTTGTGAGTTGGGTGTCACAGTCACTGTGGTTTGCAGCATCAATGTCCTTGGCATCTATAGCCCTACCTTTGCCCTTCTTCTGAAGTCTAGTATAGATCAGGCCACCTTCTTGGCAAGGATGGACAACATCCCCTACAGGATGGGCAGAGTCATCAGACTCATATGTGGGTGGTGAAGATGGGGGAAGTGGGGACTGGGCACAAGAAACAGTCTGAGCATTGCAAGCATGTGCATCATCATCATCTAGGAGTCAACATGTCAACATGAGGCATGTTAATTAAAAATTTCTCTAGCAACTCCCATTTACATTTCAAGACAGTCATATTGGTCGCTTTTTTTCAATGCCTCCTCCTAGACATCTTTGGCATGCTAGAATATCTGGACACAGACCTTGACCCTGCTATGGGCACTTTTGTCAATTCATTTGACCACTGGATCAGGGAATTCATGACAGACCCCACCATTTTCCAGTGCCTTTTTGAAATATGCATGCCTGTCTGGATGGTCTGGAAACCTGATCATGTACTCCCAGACATGCAAGTGTTGAAGACCATTGGGATTATGCACCCTCATGACATAGTCATGGATCCTGAGGTTTTTGAGGTTGGGCAGATGCTGAAATGGCACAGTGCCTGGTACCACCCTGGTGAATTGCACCACAGGCACACTTGACAAGGCCCAGCAATTGGGCTTGAGAAATTTGCAGCTCCCTGGCCAGAACCACCATGCACCAGCAGTGGTGTGGCCTCAACTCCCACAAGCATGGGTCCCACAGCTTCCAATGCTGCAAGTTCCAGTGGTGCAAGTTCAAGTACTGGAGCTGTTAGGACAGGCAGGGCTTGACAACATAATCAGCCATGTACATATCCTATTCATTTTGTCTCAGTGTGTTTAACATTTTGCTCAGATCCCCCTGCAGGCTTGAGAGGAGCCAAGCTGTTGGTCATTCTGAATCCCAAACTGTGGGAAGACCTCAGCAATCCAGCTATTCCCCCTGCTATGTCTGCATGGCATGCTGCCCTGGAGGACATGAATAAGGATGCAAAAAGGGTTAGTCCCAATGTGCCCAAGGTAGCTTACTTCTTTCCCAGCCTGAGTCTGTTTGTGAGGGGTGAGTCCTCCAATTGCCAGCAGAGGTACCTGAGGAATTGGCTAGTCTCTCAAGTGGGTTGGATCACTTGTCTTTCTGCCTTGGATGCATCTCCTGTTATCCCTTGGTCCTGGCAGGATTTCCTGAACACAATTCCCAAGCAGATTTCATCCACATTTTCTGGTGACTGACTACATGAATCTGCTGCCCTCTTCAGTCCTGAGCTTGTCAGCCTCCAACATGACATACCTAGCCATGTACAATTCTGGGATATTTCAATTTCCCTCACAGACCTTGCTACCATCAATCAGATGATGAAAAGCAAGGTTTTATGGGATTTATATGAAAACAACTTCTGGTTTGAGCTGGTCACTCTTGACCATGCGATGATGCCTAGCTTGTGGTCAAATCAGGATTCAGAGTGGCTTGATCATGTCCAGCAGGTATGTACAATTTTACCTCACCAGGAATGCACTGTTTCTGAACTCTATGCAGATTTTCCCAGGTGATTCAGAACTCACCATGTGTGCTGAGCCTTTCCCTCAGCAAAATCAAGGCCTTGGCTCATCTGGCTTTCAATAGAAATGGGAGTATGTAGAGAAGCTTTGGGCATTACTTGCTGTATGGCCAGGATGCCCCTTGGACTTGGTGGAGCCAATTATGCCATTAGCATCATCATTGCATGTCTGGGCAATGGAAAAGAAGTTGGCTATATTTTATGTACAGTCATTCTTTGATACTTTTGGTTGTCTGCCCCTTCTTCCCTGCCTTATTCCAACTGCACTGTGTGGTTATGGTTGAAATAGTTGGTAACCTCCTTCATCATTCCTTGATACCATTTTTACTCTGTACATTTCCTGAATGATATTCATAGCACACCACAATTGCAATCTCATTTTGTTCATCACACACTTTCTTCATCTCTTTCCCCATCACCCTCACTAGTCATGTGCAAAGGTCAGTTCACTTTTCTATGCTGGAGGCTAACTATTGGAGACATGCTGGTGGCATCTTGGGGTTGCCTTCCAGCAACCTGGATTCAGTGTCCTGGTCACAGTCCTGTAACTTGGTGTTGCAGGATCATCATCTACCACTAACTCACCTAGACAGTTTATGCATCTGACCAAATTTCATAGATGTCTTTTTGTTGACTGAAACAGCTTACTAGGTGTGGTCCCTCTGTATGAGTTACTGCCCCGATGAACCAGATTCCTGACTTGCTCCATGTGGATGATCTTGTGGTCCTTGTTTACCATCAGGCTGCTGCACCTTTGTGCTGTGTTCCCAAAACTGTGGGGCTTTACCTTCCTGTTGAGCACTTGCTCACCTTACCTGGCCATCACACTTTCACACAACACCCCAGTGATTCCTCTGACCCACACATCCAACACCACTCTGCTTCAAGTGCTGCTTGCCTGTTAGAGCTATCTGTGGGTAGTGAATGTGACCTCTCCCATGATGCCACTTTCAACCATTTAACCAATGGGCTACATATTAGCCAAGACCTGCTCTTGTCACCATCTAGGAATGCCCAAAAAAAAAAGAAGCAATGGCAGCAGTGGTTGCACACTGTCATCCCTTCCCTCCTTCAGCTGTATCTTGCATATCAATGACTATCCAACCACTTCCAGAATCCTGTTGACTATGAACTGCCAATGTGTGGTTGTCACCAGACTCAAAAACTGAGAGTCATTTGTATTGATTTCAATGGTGAGATTTCTGTGTTCTTTGTCATTTTCCTCTGCTTAAATGCATTCATGGCAGCTCTGCAATCAGTTGATCTGGCTGTCTGTCCTTGTGCACCTGCAGCCCTCCAACTCCTTTGGATGGGCTACTTCCCCTATGCCCCACTGGGGCCAACACTTGCTGTTAGCCTACAGCTTCTTGGCTTTGTCTGACAACTCTTCATGTGCATACCTCCAAACACTTCAGCATGGTGTGAGTCCCTTGAGGCATACCTTGCAGCTATGGGTTATGAGGTGGACACAAAGGTATGGAATTGTCATGTTTTGTATCATTACCCCATTTTTTCCACTTCATAAAACATACATTACTGCCATAGTGACTGTAGTACAGATGACTCTGCTATGTAGGTAGTATATCTTAATCTGATGCATGACTATTTAGGACTGCTGTAGTGTTATATTGATAGGGTAGGATGTTTGTTGGTATTGTTTGTGGTGATGTTGCTATATTATTAATGCATACTTTGGTTGTTCTTCTCATTCATGGATCATTGCTGATGATACTTGCAGGAGGGTATACACTGGAGGTTCAGTAATGCATATCACTGGTATTGTATTCTGGACACATCCCTTGATGAATATGTCCAACAACAACTGCAAGAATCTGCTAGTCCACCATCAAACATCCCCTCTGCAATCCCATTGCCAAGTTCCCCAGACAATGATGTCCTCAGTTCAAAGATGAGGCCATCAGAATACTTACAACAGCATTGTCCTCTATGCTTTGGTGGCCAGAGCTGGCAGAGCAATAATAGTGAACATGGGTATGTCACTTGGTGGATATAGTTTTGTCAACTGCTAAAATTTCCTTTGTTCTAGCTTTTCTGATGTTGATGCAATTGTTTGCATTGATGCTTGTTTTACTCAGAAGTGCAGAAGTGGGCATCCAGATGATCCAGTAAACCCTACAGCTACAGTCTTTCTTTCACAAGAAGATATTTGTGCTATGGAGCATGAGGTTAATGAGTTGCAAAAGTCAAAGTCTTCAACCCAAAGGAGGAGTGGGCAGGCTTTGAAAAAGAATTATCTTGGTGATGGGGAGGATGAGTTTGAAGAGGGAATGAGGATAACAATGTCAGTGCTGAAGGGTTGTAATGAGTCCTTTACTGCAGCTGATGAGAGGCACCAGAAAGTGAGTCTTAATCATTTATTCTGACTCCATTGGTCTGATGGCAGTGTAGGCAAGTACCCAGTTCTTTTCAGATACTGGTGTCATGGCCCTACTCTGTTGTCATGATCATGTCATTTACCTTGCAAATATGACTTCAGCTGGGGAGAGGCAACATTATGCACTTGCCCTCATCAAATCTCTTTTTGGCCATCTCCCAGATAATTTTCATATTGGGCTGTTATATGACATAGGTTGTCAACTGGAACAGAGCTGCAGGAAGTGGGGTTTTCTCAAGTCATTCCTGCCACATATTTCTTTTGCCATCTCAGTATTTCATGCCTTCGGTCATCAATGGGCATGTCAGCTTATCTATCACCCCTGAAAATGTGAAGGATTTGGGCTATCTGATGGAGAGGGATGTGAGCATTTTTGGAGTTCAATCAAAGGGCTGATACCATCTCTTCATGTTTCTGGGGTATGTGTGCAGTATGCCACATCTGTTTCAAGCTAACATATTATTCAGTATCATTAATGCCTCTTTGTTATTGACTTCCAGGTGTGCCACCTGGACATGAAGTGTCTCACTGGTTTGGGCCAGTGGCTTTTGCATCACTGGAATCATTGCCAAGAAAAGAAGGCTGCTGCAAACAGAGGCCTAAGGAGATGTGGAGTTGATATCCCAACTCTTCAAGCTGAATGGGTTGCTCAAGTCTCTGCACAGACAAAGCCAGCTCCTTGTGAGCTGCTGATATAAATAATGATACCTGCTCACCATCAAATTAGGTCACAGCTCTAAAGCTGCTGAGAATATGATATTGCAAATCATGGCAAATCCAAAATCATTGGGAAATTATGAGGCCAGGCTAGAAGTGCTGGAGAAAGATCTTCTCCATGGGGTTGCTGACATGACAAGCTTGACTATCCAAATTGCAGAGTGTCATCAAAAGGTTAAGTGTTTTAAAGATGCTTTGCAGAACCAGAGGGCAACCCTAGGCATAAATGGGCATTCAAATCTTGCTAGTATCCAAAAGAGTGCTTATCTTCAAGTTAGTAGCAGTGTATTTTCTATATGGTTTCATCTAATTGAGACCATGTTCCATAGCTTCACATGCATGCATTAGCAATCAAGAAACATACCAGAGATCATCTGTGCCAACAAAAGTTTGAGTTGGAAAGACTGGAACACTCATATTGGCAGACTCTCAGTGGTAAGAGGGCATCATTCGTGAATACCCTTGTATTTGACTTGCCTTGAAGAACAAAGACTTCAAAACCACACAGAAGCATCTGTGAAGCAATGAGAACCAGGAATAGCCAAGCTTGCCAGTAGCTACAATAATCTGTGTCTGCAAATTGTAGGCCTCATACACAAGGGAAAAGCTCCTCAGGGGTCAATAGCCCCACTCCTGATCCCAAGGGACTCTTTGTTCAAACTGGATGTGGATGATGATATTTGGCAGGATATTGGCCTTGGGGATGATTCAGATGGGTTACTACCCCCATGGTTAGCTGATGAAAAAGTGCACTCAGGGATCAGATCATTCCTTGAGCTGGGGTGTTGTGAAGAAGAGGAAAGGCACCTGTTGCAGGAAAGAAGAGATTTGACAGAGTGGTTTTCTGAAGAGTGGGGTCATGTGCAGAAAACCATACAGAGTACTGGTAAGAGACATGTGTCATTGCATTACCATGACTAACACACATTGCAGATGTTGATCTTGCATATGAACTTGACTGCAGAGCATTGAGACTAGCAGGTCTGTGCATCTTATGGAAGAGGCAACTTAGAGGCTATCCTGGAACACCTAATGAGAACTGGGGTGCAAGTGATGAAGAACTGCACAGCATGGTGCAGGGTGGTCATGTTATATATATTGATAGTGATAATGAGGAGAGGTTTGATGGATTGGAGTCAGAGGGTGAAGAGGATGAGGATGAAGTGATGGATGATGAGTTGCTATGTGTTGCTGAAGAATTTGCCCTGGCAGATGAATATCACCAACAAAGTGATATGCCATTGGAAGAATTCTGTTGGGGGGAAGAATGGGAGAATGACCTACTGGATATGGATCCACCATCATCTCCAAGTAAAAGGGTTCAATACAGATAAGGGTGATAGAGACATATTATAATCTATTTGGTGTGTTTAAATAGCATTTTTTTTGAGCATCATGTTTGCAAGACATATGCATGGGTAAAATGTAGAATATCCCACTGGTTGGCAGAGGGGTAGGTGGGATGTCCCAATGTAGGCTTAGAGGCTGTTGTGGGACATCCCACTGCTTGGCAAAGGGGAGGGTGGGACATCCCAATGTAGCCTTAGAGGCTGCTGTGGGACATCCCACTGCTTGCCAGAAGGGGGGAGGGATGTCCCAATGTAGCCTTAGAGGCTGTTGTGGGACATCCCAACGGTTGGCAAAGGGGAGGGTGGGATGTCCCAAGGCAGCCTTGGATGCTGCTGTGGGACATCCCAAGTCCCCTTATGAAAGTCAGTGGGATGTCCCATCCCAGCCTCAGAGGGCTATGATGGCACATCCTCCTAAGTTACCTTTGCAGACCAGCACAATGCCCCATGATGACCTCAGAGGCTCATCTGGGACATTCTGCCCTCTGCAGATGGTGTTGCAAAGGTGACCAACCCCATGTTCTATGTGGGGGACTTTGAGATATTGGCTTGTCACACAAGTGTTCAAAAACCATTCACTTCTTCCTTCATACAGTACAAATTGCATGAGGTATAGACACAAATTGATTGAATTTATTATTGCAATTTTCAAGGCAAATGTGGAGGCCCAGGTGGGTCATCTCCCTGGCAACTAGTGAGATGTCCCAATACAGCAGAATCACATCACAAAGATGTACATGAAAAGTACTATTGTATACTACTATGCATGGTGGGATGGGAGGGGATGTATAGGTCAAAGGATACTTTGTGGATTAAATCTGTCAGAGGAGCAAGGGGGCTAGGATTTCTGCAGCTATTTCAATGCTAATATAAGCTGCACTTTCAGGAGTAGGGACCCCAGTCACCCAAGGCAGTCTGGGGACATCCCAAATAATTGCATTTGAAATGGATGGCTATGTGGGAAATCCCATCTGTCCCAGGGCCTAAAAATCTGCATAGCCCTGGGACATGACCAGATGTCCCTGGGCAGACCTTGGTCTGGGAGGCTATTAGGCTGGATGGTTTGGAGAAACTATTCAGCCTAAATGCTTATGAAAAATGGTTACCTGAAGTGTGCCAGGAGGGAACTCAGATGAGGCTGTAAAGGGTAGGGGGTCCAGACCAGCATAGTGAGGTGTGTGGATGATGAGGATGTCATCATTTTTTTGAAGGGGGCACATGGAGTAGGGAGGACCAGGGGTAGAGGTGAGGTCACAGCCACTTGTGGGCTTAGTCAGATGAATGGAGACATGGACAAAGCAGAGTAGAGCAGAACATCACAACACAAGACAGGGCAGCCACCAGTAGTCAACAATCCTATGAGACTAGTCCACCAGCAAGGAAATGTAAGAGTAAGAAGTAAGAAACTGCTGGGAGTATAACACCCAGCAATGTGGTCACAGGAGGTTATGAGGTTGTGAGAGGCAGGCAAAAGATCTGACTTCATATACATAGAGATTTGTAATGGGTATGCATGGGCATGTGGCAGAATATGTGAAATTAGCCTTTATGGAAGTGAAGGAAATAGGGGCTAATTACAGGGTCCACTCAGAAGCTTCTGAATATTGATTTGTAGATAGCCTGCATTGGTTCCAACACCTCCAAGAACATTCAAGGGCAGTTATAAAGTGCTGAACAATGTTGAACAGTTTCAAACAGCTTCCACATCTCAGTGTGGAGCTGTTTCAGAGGCTTGGAAACTTTCACAAATACATATCTCATGTATAGAAATGGACATACAAACATTCATAACAATTGGAGCAATCAGTAAGAAGTTACAATGATTAACCCCTATCAAACCTTTCAGAACTGTGATGCATTGTAACTCAGGAACTGCTGTGCACAATGACCATAGTTACATGGTCATCTTAGGCCTTGGGGACAGGCCTAGGGAGCAAGAATGCTTGGTCAGGACTGGTCATGAACCAGTCCTGACCAGTCCCATCTGGCAATCTATCTATCACTGCATTTACTACAATGCACAGCAATGGGTTCCTGGTCATCCTAGACCTTGGGGACACACATGATGAGCAGTAATGCCTGGTCAAGACTGGTCATGGCCAGTCTTGACCAAGCCCATCTTGGCTATCAGCCATCTCTGCACTTGAGTGGGAATGAATCTGGGGTGGCCCAGACTGGTCTGGACTGGATGATCATGGTCACCTTCTTACATAAGAAGTATCCACATGAACAATCTGGGAATGCTCAAGGCCAGTGATGGGGAGTCATGACTGGATATTCAATGGCAGGTAGTCATAGGAGAAGTAGGTAAGTTTATCATAGGAATATACAGTTGGGGACAAACAAATATGACAATTTCAGTCATCAAATTATCCACACTTGACACAATGTTCTGAAAGTCCAAAAACTATATAATAGGCATACTTAGGATACATAGAAACAATCTGCATGAGCAGAATTTTGTAATACTGAGTTTTGAAAATCTTGACCCCCCAAAATTTGGTGGACCCCCCTAAAATTTCACAACAAATCTGAAAAATGCAGAACAAAGAGTATTTGGTTAGTACAAGATGTTGCTGCCATATGAACATGAGATGGCTCACCTGTGGCAAGTGGAAAATTTGAGATTCAAGCCAAGTTTTCAGTTGCCTTCAAACAAGAACATCTTGCAGCTGCCCTTGAGAACATGTTATTGCCTGGAATACAACTGGTCTGCACAATTGGAATTCTGTTAGTACTGATGCAGCAGGTTATGTGTTGTCACCCAACACATCTGAACCTGATGAAGGAGAGTGCCTCCATCAGAGTAAACAAGCATGGTCCTTGTCTTCAAGTACTTCTGACCCAGACACATCAGATGATGAGGAGAAAGACTGGTGGTGTGGTGCTGTATTTGACAGCCTGAAATATGTGGCTGATGAAAGTAACTTGGATGATGAACTTGAAGAAGGTGGCAATGACACTGTTTTCAGGAGTTGATGAAGCTGAGCTTTGTGCATGGTTGGAGGCACTTGCTGTCAGTGCTGGTGATGACCCCCTTGACATGACATGGTTGCCTCTGAAACAAGCCAAACATGCTGCCCAATGCAAGCAAAAGTCAGTTGGTTGCCCCTAAAGAGTACAAAAATGGACCTGATGTCAGGAAGCAAGTCAGAATGTACAAAACAACAGTACAAATGGTTTTTGGCAGACCAGAAATCACTTTCCAACCTTGGATTTACTTTCTCAGGCCAGCAAGTTCAAGTTCCACTGATCTCCCAAGCTTCAAACACCCTCCCTGTCATCTCAGCTGCACATGCCATGGTTAATGATGAAGCAATGGAACCATTGATCTTGTCACCCCCTCTTTCATCAGCTGAAGAACTTGGAGAGACCCCTTTCACTACCATCTCATGTACCAACACTCAGGACTCTTTGGGATGCCACTCAAATGATGTATTGATGCCATTGAATGCAGGTGGACTTGTAGAGGATGCTGAGGATGCCTGGGCAGGTGTACCTGAAGAGCAGGAAAGGGATAGTGTCGAGATTAGGGGATGGGATGAACTGTGGGAGCACATCAAGCATGATCTTGCAAGAGGTGCAAAAACAATCCTACCATTGTCTTGTTGTCTTGTGTCAATCAGCTTATGCTGATTTGAAGCTTTGCTACCCTCCACTTGAAAGGTCTTGGATGTGTTGAGGCAAGTCTGGAAATTGCTCATCAGTGGCATGAAGGTGAGGGAAAACATTTTGCACAAAAGGTCAGGGCACTTGCTCATCATTACCAAGTGTTTGAACAGCTTCCTGTGGAAAAGTGAAGAGGATGAGCAAATGCTCTGAGCCCCCTTAAAGACAAATGACTTCAGCTGGCTGCCTGCCAATGGCATATGTTGCAAGAAGTCAGCCAAGTCACTCTGCAGCAATTTCAGCACACACTTAATGAAATGATTATTCCCTCACTTGGTATTGTACCACTCTGTGAATGGATGGCATGATACTGGCTGCTAAAATTGGGCTGGCAGCAGACAAGACTTCAAAAGGGTGTCTACATGGATGGCCATGAGCACAATGATATCAAGAAGTATAGGCAGGGAGTTTTTTTTACCTGCAATGGCTGCATTTGAGTGCCACATGGTACACTTTGAAGGATTGGAATTGCTTCATGTTGATCCACAGCTTGCACCTGGCAGATGGAAGGTCATTGCAATCTTTCATGATGAATGTTGCTGCCACAGAAATGATTATAGGATGCATGCATAGTGAGTGGTGACAGCCATGATAGACCTTGTACTCAAATGCTTCAGTTTATTACCTGGTCAACAAATCTTGCAGCAAAAAGGAAGAGGGCACATTATCCATGTTTCTGGATTTATTAATGCAGAAGATGGTCAATTGGTGCACTGCAATGAGTCAGGAAATATTGTGGCAGATGCACAAGAAATCATTTACCCAGGGGCAAATTGTGATGTATGGTGGAACACAGAGAAAATACTGAAACAGGTCAAGTGTGCAATTCAGGTCCTCAAGGCTGCACACCCACACTGTATTGCTTTGTTTATTTCTGACTAGTCATCTGCTCATGCTTTGCTGCCACTAGATGCCTTGAAGGCCTTTGAGATGAACAAGTCTAATGGGGGAAAACAATGGAAGCAACATGATACAGTAATTCCAGATACCAATCCCACTGTTGAACACCATGGAAAGCCTCAAAAAATGTGCTTGTCAAATGGACAGCCTAAAGGTCTCCAGCAAGTTCTTGAAGAACATGGCTTTAATGTTTGGAAACTGTGAGTAAAGTGTAGTCCCATTTGTCCATGGGAGAATGAAGACTGTTGCATGGCTTGCCTCCTAAGCAAGCAGGATGACTTGGCCAATCAGCCATCAATGCTCAAGGCTCTCATCAAGGATGCAGGTCATGAGTGTATCTTTCTTCCAAAATTCCATTGTGAATTAAATCCTATTGAAATGGCAAGTATATTCTATAAGTTTGTGTTTCTGTTACTATTACTAAACATGCACTATAGTACTGTGGTTGGTGCAAGTACCATTATTGTGAAATAAAGAAGAGTACATTTGAGGAAGCAAAGTGATGTGCAGTGCAACAACTGGATGCATGTCCAACAGAAGTTGACCAGTCCTGACCAGCCACATCTTGCCTTTCAGTGATCACTGGACTCCATACCATGTCCAGCAATGGTTTCCTGGTCATCCTAGACCTGGGGGACACTTAACTTGCTTCCTCTTTCTCTTTTCTCTTTGTCACTGACAACTTGTTGTTGTGCAATGGATGACTGCTCTTGTCCAGCAGTCTTTCTATGCATGAGGACTTTAGTTTTCATTTGCATTCATAGCATGGGCATTGTGCACAACTCCTCAATGAGTTAGGCAGAGTCAGCTGTAACCATGTCCACAACACCTTTGGTGTGTGACAGCATACCCTTGCCTAACCCTACAACACTGTTCTATGATCAATACTGGAAGCCTGTGTGTCAATGCATGTTCTCTCCCTCCAGTGTTCAGGCTCTCCTGAAATACAAATGGTGTGGCTTTCACTTCACCTCCTGCAAAGAGACCAACCACCCCCAGTTTGCTTGCAGAACCAAAATCTGGTCTCTGAATGATTGGGGGTGGCTATCACTTGATTTTGAAACAGTTCCTTGCTGTGGCACAGCCCCCATTGCCACATTTTTTTGCTTGGGTATTGTTGATGCCATATGACCACTTGGAGGGCTGGTCTGCAGATCAACCAGATTATGTGTGCAGCCCATCCTCCACATCATTAAAGACTGCTCATACATAACTCACCAACCATACCCACATAACTCACCATGCAACAGTTATGTTATCTACCACTGTATATAATCCTCCCCATTGCATATTGGCCTTTGATAGTGTTATGCCAATGACTCATATTGCATCATGAATCAAGTGTGATGAAGCACAAGCATGTGACTGTGTGAGAAGTGACACATAATTTAACTTCACTAGTGAATGGAGCACTAGTCTTGGCCAACCGAAGTTGTACTGTCAAGTCCTCTGGGGTACAGTGAGTGGAGCTAAGGGTGGTTGCAAAGTAAGATTTCAAATGAGGAGCTGGTACAATACATGCAGGTTTATATACATATGTAGAGTACCTGTGGACCAAACATTTGAAAACATTTGAATGTTCCCCTGCATACCATATAAGGCATCGTCGAGTCACTCTTATGAGGGCATAAGGGTAGCCAAGTCTGTGGATGGGGTTAAACACAGGAGTGAATGCAAAGAAGAGGGAATAACTGCATATATGACATAGGAGGAGTAAATGGGTCACCTGGGGCAGACATGTTAACCATGTCATGTGACCATGTGGATCAGAGCCACCTGCAGATCATGGAAGGAAGGGGAAATGGACATAGTCCAGCTATAGTACAACATGGGGTAAACAGGGGGGTACCATAAAAGGAAACATACAAAAAGAACATGAGTTCAGAGGTGGCTTGCAGGCAACAGAACATTGTCACTTGAAAGTGTGACAAGTGGTAGCATATAAAGTCTATAAAAGGAAAGAAATGTGAGCAGTGTGCAACAGATAGCCTACTGCTGCTCTGGCCCAGACATTAATTAACTAAAATACACATTTGACAACAGCCCTGTTAGAAATATACAATATCTATACATACACTGGAAAAAATTGTAATCTTTGCACATGAGCCACTTCCTCCTGTGGCATCCAGGGGCACCTGGAGGGCTTTTGTATGGCACCTAATATCTCTGGAACTACTTGTTGGAATGATCTGAGAGTTTGCATCCATGGTGGGGCCTAGGTAAGGCAAATATGTGGAAGGTTTCATAGAGATCCACCCAGTGGTTGCTGAGATATCACAACTGTTCATAAGTGTTCAACAATGTTTGGCACCTCATATCTCAGGAGCCACTGATTGGAATGATCTGGGATTTTGCATCCACTGTGGGGCCTAGGCAAAGCAGATATGTGGAAGGTTTCATAGAGATCCACCCAGTGGTTGCTGAGATATTACATCTATTTGATGATGTTCAGCACCTTATACCTCAGGAACCACTGGATGGAATGATCTGCGAGTTTTCAGCCAGGGGGGGCCCTAGCCAATGCAGCTTTGGGGAAGGATCCAAAGAGATCTACCTAGTGGTTGCTGAGATATTGATATCACAACTGTTCAACAATGTTCAGTGCCAAATATCTCAGGAACCACTGGTTGGAATGATCTGAGAGTTTGCAGCCAGGGGGGCCTGGTCAAAGCAGATATGGGGAAGGATCCAAAGAGATCCACTCAGTGGTTGCCAAGATATCACAACAGTTTGACAATGTTTGGCACCTAACATCTCAGGAACCACTGGATGGAATGATCTGAGTGTTTGCATCCAGGGGAAACCCCAGATGAAGCCAATATATGGAAAGTTTCAGAGAGATCTTCTCAGTGGTTACCAAGATATCACAACTGTTGTAGGCCTGGACTCAACACTGAACACATATGAACAGCTGTTCAGCACATTATAACTTGGGAACCACTGGCAGATTTCACTGGAATATTCTGAGAATCTACATCATATAGGGGGCCTCTTATCAGATCATTACAGGTCATTACATACAGCAGTTCCCAAGGAATAAAGTACTGAACAAGGAATGTATTCAGTACTATATAAGTTGGAACAAATGGGCAGATGTTGCTGGAACTGTCTGCAGATCTGCATTGTATAAGGGGCCTCTTTGGCATCAATTTTCAGGTCATTACATGCAGCAGCTCCAAAGTTATGAAGTTCCAAACAAGCATGTATTCAATGTGATAAAACTTGGGAAATACTTGGCAGATTTCTCTGGAACTTTCTGCAGGCCACTATCATCAGTTACTTGAGGTTGCTGACCCCATGTAGACTTCACATTCTTCATGTGCATCCTCAAGGTTTCAACAGTATTGTAAACTCTTCTGGGATTGGGACATCCACTGTCTGAGCAATGGCACCCAATGTAGCCATCGGTATACCTTTGCACAACTATGTGCTGCCCATGAGAAGTGCAGTGTTCAACTGGGGAAAGACATTCCCTTCTATGGCAACCATATGCATTTTTGGATTCAAAACAGGCCTTGAAGGTGGGATGGGTGAACATGCTGTGGAGAGCAATGGAGGTATCAGACCAGCAAGGAAATGTAAGAGTAAGATGTAAGAAATTGCTGGGAGTATGATACTGAGCGATGTGGTCACAGGAGATTGTGAGGTTGTGAGAGGGTGGCAGAAGATGTGGCTTCATATACATACAGATTTGTAATTGGTATGCAGGGGCATGTGGTGAAATTAGCCCTTATTGAAAACAAAGCCAAAAAGGGGCTAATTATGGGATGCACTGGAAAGCTTCTGAATATTGATTTGCAGACAGCTTGGATTGGTGCCAACACCCCCCAAAAAATTCAATGGCAGTTACAAAGTGCTGAACAATGTCAAACAGTGTCAAATAGCACCCACATCTCAGCATGGAGCCATTGCAGAGTCTTGGAAACTTTCACAAATGCATATGTCATGTATAGAAATGGATATACAAATGTTCATAATGATTAGAGCAACCAATAGGTCAGGACTGGTCATGACCAAGTCCATCTTGGCATTCAGCAATCACTGGACTCAGTGACCATGTCCAACAATGGTTTCCTGGTCATCCTAGACCTTGGGGACAGGCATAGGGAGCAGAAGTGCCTGGTCAGGACTAGTCCTGACCAGTCACATCTTGCCTTTCAGCAATCACTCCACTCACTACCATGTCCACCAATGGTTTCCTGGTCTTCCTGGACCTTGGGGACAGGGTTAGATAGCCTTTCAGAGATCACTGGACCATCTTCCTATCATAAGAGGTATCTGCATGAACTGTTTGTGAACATTCTAGGCCAGCAATTTGTGGGTCATGATTGGATGGTCCATGACCAGCTTCCTATATGAGAGGTATCTGCATGAACTGTCTGGGAAGGCTCAAGGCCAGCAATGGGGGCAGTCAGGACTGGTCATGACCACCTTCCATTTTAGGAAGGACCTGTGTGAATTCCTTTCCTGAAAAGGCAGTCCTGACTGGTAGGATGGGGCATCCTTCTTGGATCAGAAGGATAGTTTGATCTGACCCTTTGATTGCACTATTGCTCACCTCCACCATGACAGGCTGCTCACATCCTACTCAAAATGGCATCATCGCAGTTTTAGGCTTCCACGATCCAGCCAATCTACCCAGTTAAAATGTTTCCTGTCAGTTTCTGCTTGATCAAAGATTCCAGCATGATTCCACATGCTGGTGGCATGAGGGAATGTCAGGGTACTATTTACTTAGCTCCAAACGATATGTATATCTTTGGTAGAAGTGGTTGGGTTCGGTGGGATCCCAAAGATGCTCTTCATCTTACTGTTGCAGGAGATGAATGCATAATTGCACCTTGCCCCATCAATGGGATCCAGCTGCTGGCTAATGATACATCCTATCCCCACTACCTCACATCCATGGAAGTGGAATTTCGCTGAATCGGATTCCAACACCCCCCAATGAATGCTGACATCCTGTGGCTCATGGGGATGCAATTTCCTGATCCCAAATCCAAATCCCTGGTATGTGTGCAATCTACAAAACTCTGAGAATACATGCTGATGATGACAGGATTTGGAGAAGCAGAGTGAAGGTGTCATTGGCAGGGCTCAAAAGCCACCTGCAGAGGCTGCAGTCCCTATGCAAGAAGCTGGTAGCCGATTGCGGAAGAGAAAGGCAAGAGATGTAGGTGGGACAATGAGGAAGTCAAGGGTGCCCTGATTGCATCCACATCAGCAAGCAGAAAGGGTAAAGGAAAGGAGGTATTGGAGCCAGAAGGTCACTGCACCACAAATGAGAAAAAAAGACAGAGGAGTAAGCACTTCGATTTCTTTCCTATTCTTCAAGGTCCTGATTGTATTTACAGCTGAAGATGCTGAACCCGTTGCTGAGCAGGTTCCTTTCCTCGATCAAATCACCTGCCCATTGGATACAAAGGTGATTGATTGGGAATCTTTGAATATAAGAACATATGCTCCATGGCTCAGTAAAGTGGTATGTAAATTTGACAGAAACTTCAAATCTAGGAGCTGATAAATGACAATCATAGGATTGTGATGCAGTAGAGTACATGTCCAAGGCTGCATCCACCACTGAATACCAGTATGGACATGGGTGGACGATGCTAGTGGAGCTGAAGTATGATGGGGACAAGGGCTTGCTCGCACAGCTAATCGCCAACATCAGTGATTCACTGTCGAGGGGATGTGCAGTGTTGGTCAGGGGATGGAAGCCAAATAATCCACCCCTTGACTTCACTTGTGAAGACATTCACTTCTTCCACCTGACAATATCACAGGAAGTTGTTGTTCAAGGTATGCATATCATCATATTGCTAAAATTCATATTGCTAAAGGTAATTAGATGCATTAAAGTGTGCAGAGCAGCAGGAGGCAAAGGGGGGGCCAGACATGAGCAAAGTTTTTGAAGTGCTCAGCAGAGTAAAATTCATCAAGCTTGCAGATGATGAGAATACATGCATGAACCTCCTCGACTTCCTGAATACCCAGCCTGAGGTTCCCATATTCCTCAGGTATGTCATCGATTGGAACTCATATTAAGATTCTTTGGATGCTGAAGAATGCACCAGGCAACTATCTGACAATGTAAACACAAAGACCATGACCATGAATGATGTTTATCTCCCCCATTCTGGTAAGAACACAGGAAAATCATATTATGGCATGCAGGCAGTCTTGGGGGATGTTGAACGACTTCATGGATGGGATCTACTGATGCATGGGGGTTTCATCATGTACCCTCACCATGATGCAGCAGGGCTATGCACATACATCACTGTACAGTCTGGCAGCAAGATATGGGGTTATTTTGACACCCCTGGAAGTCAGGATGCAAGCAGAGAGAATCTATTCAAGGCCTGGGATGATATTTTTGCTGACAATGTCAATCTTAAGTTCCACAAGTATCCTCTCAGGACCATTCATCTTCAATGTGGAGATACCCTGTATGATTTTTATTCCCAATTCCCAAGCGTGCTCTTATGATTAATGACACTGGAACAGGATTCAGCCTCCCAGGGCTAACCACATGGTGTACACTCTGCAGAATGGCCTCATGCCCGGTGTGAGTCAAAGTGAGGTTCAGTGGTGAAAACCGACCAAAACCAACACAAAAGACAATGAAAGCGAGTGGTGGTGTGCCTATGCGGTACCTAGATGGTAGAACCTGTTCTTTGGGAGGGTTTTTGCGAGCTACAACACTCAAAGATGAGTGCTGAGGGTTGGGGGTGCTCCTGACAAAGAGGGAGCAAGAATGTGATAGAAAGCGATAGGGTAGACTGCTGTCAGCCTACAGAAGGATGGATGGTGACTTAATTCGATGTCCTAAGCTGTACTGAGCTCAGGGAGGGCTTGGAGCAAAGTATATGGATGATAGATGATGATAAGCGAAGTAGATGATAGCTAGACCCTTAATAAAGTCTCAACTATCGAAGCTGATGAATGATTTACTGAGAGATGATAAATTGCAAGCAAGAGGGGCTCTCTGATGTCTTCTTTTTTTGCTACCTAAGTACAGTGACTTATATACAGTACAGGGGCGTTGCCTATGGAAAACAAGGTGCAAACACTTGGTAAGTGATTGGTAACTGATGAGTAAGGAATGTAAGTGATGGGTAATCATCTTGGAAAGCATTGGTAAGCATTGGTAAGGATAAGTAAGCCAAAAAGCGAAGAATCAGTAAGCAAAGTCAAAAGATTGGTAAGTATTGGCAATAGGTGAGTCAAAGACAGTCAGAATGTCACAGTATGAGTCAAGCAATGTCAGGAACTGGGAAAGTGCACTGGAATCACATTAGGGGGAGGCCATGCATGTCACATCTCAAAGAGATCACTTCTAGGCCAAAGTGGGATGACAGAGAGGCAGTGCTGATCTGATGCCGATATAGTACATCCAAAAGTGGACAGGGTGAGTCAGATGTCAACAGGGGTCAAGCTTTTGGGGTCTGTGGGGTGACAGGAGCATAGGGGATCACAACTTTCCCCCCAAACCATCCTCTCAGTGAAGCAAATACAAACTTCATGAATGAGGCTCTGTTGGAAGAGAGGATGAAGGGGGAGTGTCTTCTGCTGTATCTTGCAACAAGGAGGCAAGATGTGCATCATACTCATCATGGATGCAATCAGGGAGAGTGGAGAACAGTAGATTATACTGTAGCTGTTGCAATTTTGGAAGAATGACAGACGAGACTGGTATGAAGACATTGCAGGGGGCAGGGAGGAAGGATCCATATGTTTCTTGGACTGGAGAGACTGAAACGACCACATAAGACCTTTCCAAGCGAATGACAGACCTGAGGCAACCAAAGAACATCCTCCTGGAGGTCATACTGACAAAAAGAACACGCTGTCCAAGCTGGATGGGCTGAGAGGGGGCAGATGAGGGTGGGATGTACCAGGACACTTCAGGATGGAAGCTGGTAGGAACTCCTGGTAGATATATGTAGCCATGGTCCCTAGCAAAGGGGACAAGCGAAATGACTGATGTGGAGGCAGCCATATCAGAAGAATTAGCAAAATGAGTGTCTTTTGGAGGGAGTGCTGTAGAAATGTGTGGAGTGCACAAATCCTTTCCAATTTTGGAAGGTAGGATCGCGTGGCTGAGCACTACAAGCGAGTGTGGGAATGGTTTCGGTGTCTGCAGAATTGGTGGAGATACATCGAAAACCGGAATGCCATACATGGGTGCTTAAGAATTTTATTGGCACTTAACTTGCCTCCTCCTTTTTCTTTGGCATTGACAACTTGTTCTTGTGCGAGGGATGACTGCTGACATTGCTGGCTGGCCTTCTTCGCATGAGGGCTATGGTCTTCACCTCCATTCATCAGCTACATCCATGTCCACCTCACCAAACACCTTTGGTGTGTGACACTGGGGGTCATTTCCTTTCATATTCCACCATGCATCTCATGGAGATTGCAATCAATTATGACTGCTCAAGGGTTCCTGAAGGCGAATGGACCATGCGTGGGCTGGCAGGCACTAATGCAGTGCATCCAGCAATACATCACATCATCGTATGGATGGTACTGGCCCTTCCAACAATGGCAAAGGACAGAACAAGTACATCATATGTCATATCTATAAAATACATGTTCCCAGCAAATATTTCCCTTCACCAGGGACATTTTACTGCAGGTGACTGCTGGCCATGATTTCACTGATAGAGAGCAAGAAAGGAAAGTACAAGTCAGCCAAAGATGCAGATCATATGCCTGCCATGGATGAGAGGGATAACATGAGGAAAGAGATAGCCAATGAGTCAGAAGCAGTGAAGAAAATAATCTTGCATCTCAAGAAGGCCCTTCAGGTAACAGATGCTGAAAAGGAACTGGAGATGGGTTCATGGTGGGATCATGGATCAGTATGTGAACTCTTCAACATCTTCAAAAAATACAAATCTGCATAGTGTAGTTAGGTATATTATCTGATGTATTTTAGTTGTATTACCAGACATGAAATAGACCTAGGAGAGTCAAGGAAAGATGATTAGTGCACTTGAAACAGGTCTCAGGGTGTCCCAGTCAATGTGGACAGGGGCTTCAGTTATGGATCAATGTTCATTGGTGTTCATCAGTGTTTGTCCTGCTGTATGGACCTGTGGATGTCCAAATAAGGTCAATTGAGGTGGTCCTAGGGGGGATGAATGCCACTTCAAGCAATCCAGCATGCCCTGAGGGGGAGTGGTCAGATGGGAACATTGGTATGTTATATGATGTATTTTAGTTGTATTACCAGACATGCAATAAACCTAGAAGGGTTGAAGAAATATGGTTAGTGCACTCAAAACAGGTCTCAGGGTGTCCCAGGCAATGTGGACAGGGGCTTTGGTTCTGGAATGATGTTAGTTGGTGTTTGTCAGTGTTTGTTGGTGTTCATCCTGCTGTATGGACCTGTGGATGTCCAAATAAGGTCGATTGAGGTGGTCCTAGGGGGGATGAACACCACTTCAAGCGATCCAGCATGCCCTGAGGGGGAGTGGTCAGACAGGAACATTGGTATGTTATATGATGTATTTTAGTTGTATTACCAGACATGCAATAGACCCTAGGAGAGTCAGGGAAAGATGGTTAGTGCACTTGAAACAAGTTGTAGGGTGTCACAGTCAATGTGGACAGGGGCTTCAGTTCTGGAACAGTGTTTGTCAGTGTTTGTCAGTGTTCATCAGTGTTTGTTGGTGTTCGCCCTGCTGTACAGACCTGGAAATGTTCAGAACAGGTCAATTACAATTGATCTAGGGGGGACAAACACCACTTCAAGCAGCCCAGCATGCTCTGAGGGGGAGTGGTCAGATGGGAACATGGGTATGTTATAAGATGTATTTTAGTTGTATTACCAGATGTGTAATAGACCTAGGAGAGTCTGGGAAAAATGATTAATGCATTCCACACAAGTTGCAGGGTGTCCCAGTCAATGTGGACAGGGGCATTGGTTCTGGAGCAATGTTTGTTGGTGTTTGTTGGTGTTTGTCCTGCTGTATGGACCTGTAAATGTCCTAGCAAGGTCAATTGCAATTGATCTAGGGGGGATGAACACCACTTCAAACAGTCCAGCATGCCATGAGGGAGAGTGGTCAGACAGGAACATTGATATATTATCTGATGTATTTTATTTGTATTACCAGACATGCAATTGACCTAGGGGAGTCTGGAAAGGATGATTAATGCATTCCAAACAAGTCACCAGGTGCTCCAGTATGTTTGCTAAGGGCCATCCATGCTGGACCAATGTTTGCAAATGTTCACCCATGTTTGTTGGTGTTTGTCATGGTGTATGGACCAGGACATGGTACTACAAGACAAATGCAAGTGGGCCTGTATGGATGAACACCATTCCAAGTGGGCCAGCATGCTCTGAGGCAGGGTGGCCCAGTGGGCATACTGGTATACTATCTGATGTAGATTCTCTATTTCATTGTAATACATGCAGTAATATAGACATACAAGAATCTGGGAATGATGATCAATGTGCTTGAACCAGGTCCCAGGGTCTCCCAGCATTCAGACATGGTCTGGATAGGGGCTTTGGTAAGGGGTTGATGTTTGCTGGTGTTTGTCTGTGTTTTCTGTAGTTCCCCATATTGTATGGACCTGTACCTATCTACCTGAGTGCAGGGGAAGAGGTTTCCATGGTATGAACACCATTTCAAGTGGTGCAGCATGGTCTCAGCAGGGGTGGTTGGGTGGGCACACTGATAGAATATCCGGTGTAATTTATTTGTATTACATGAAAGTCGATCAACCTGCCAGAGGCTGCAAATGATGTTCCATCTGCTCCAAAATGAGTCACAGGCTGTCACAGTCAATTTGGACAGGGGCCATGGTGCTGGATCGATGTTTGTTGGTGTTTGCAGGGGTTTGTCAATGTTCACCATAGTGGATGGACCTTGAGACAACTCTATAAGGTCAATGCAAATGGATTCAGGAGGACAAACACCATTCCAAGTGGTCCAGCATCATCTCTTAGCAGGGTGGTCAGCCATGCTGCATACACTCATATATTGCTGAAGTCATGTACCATGTATTCTACACAACATAGTATACTATGAGAGTCTATAAAATATTATGTACATGCACAAAGAAGCTGTTGCTAACCTCTCAGTGTTTTCCATATAGTACTGATGTCTTCACATCATTACAAGTGTATGGGTATCTTCCAAATATTAAATGGTGCCATATATGTCATCATATGTGGGGTTATGCTATGCAGTATATATTAGTGATTGCTCTGACCCATTTCTTGAACAGCTTTGTGAATTTGTCTGCCATGATTCCTCCCATGTTGTTTATGTTCCAGAATAGCCAGAAGCTCATCGTTGGAGTATGTTCCACCTCATTGACAAAGTATCCCAGCCATAGCTTTGGGCTCATGCCATCTGGGGCCATGATCCCAATATCCATTCAACAAAACAATGAAATGGAAGGTCTTGTGCCACCAACCCTCATTTCTCATGTGACTAGTTCTGCCCAGGCTTTTAGCACAAAGTTGTTGAACTCGTCCATTGCTCTCTGTCTTGTTTCAATATCTCCCCTTTGTGGATTCACTATCTTCTTCCTCCATTCAGCAATGCTTAGCAACTCATCCTTCCTGTTGGCGAGATCCAGTTCTAAGTACAATAAGCATGACAAGAGTGCATCATACCATATTTTGCCCACCTCCTCCAATGACAGAAAACTTCTGACCAGGATTCCAGACCAGCCACCATTGTTTAACTGATGTGTATGTGTGACAGACATGTTTTGCCCTCCAACTATGATTACCTGCCACTCCCCAAGGAACACCAGGCTTGGGATATATTGTTGGGCAATCCATACCTCATCCAAGTCCTTGTTTGTGTTATTCTTGAGGTGGGCCCAGGTGTGGCTTGATTTTGGGGCAGTTGGAAGTATCACATGTTTGCTGCAGTCACTGTGACTCCACTTCAGGACATAGGCATCATTGATAGGGTCCCCATTGCTAATGATATGCATTTCCAGTACCACCCATCTGTGGATAGCTGAAATCACCTGCAGGTGTGCCAGGGTCTCCCACTTGACAGCAGCAGTCCAAACCTGATTGGGTGGGGGCCAAAACTGTACTTGACAGCTGAGAAGTGTGAAGTGATTTTTGTATGTGTGCAGTTCCATCTTGTCGAGGCCATATGGGTTTCCTTTGCATCTGAAGGCCATATTGGAACCATGCCTCCAGGGTGCAATGTCACCGCTCACCAGAAATCAATTGTGTAGTCAATGCCTCTGATTATACAGTCCATCCAAACAAGCTCATTCCATTTAGATTGCTGGCTGATCAGATCAAGTACAACAGCCTTGAAGTCTGCCCACTTCATGTACTTCAGCTTGAATGCATTGCCATCATTGTACTCTTCCATGTTCATTGCCAACCAAAGCTGCAATGCATACATCAGCAGACTGAACTGCACCTGTGGGTGAAAAGGGGGCCTACCCATTCACTGACCACCACCTTCATGCCCTCTTTGCTTTCTGATAGTTTGTATATGAATTTTCCTGAGCTCCTTGATAACCTCATATTGGTGAGGTTTTATACAGTGGGTCGCCCATCCTAGATCTTCCTTTGCCTCATTCTTCGATTTCACCTCAGTGGCTTGGGTCTGGGATGTAGAGGATATCGAGTGGTGTATCTTTCGATGTAGACCCCTGCAAATGAAATGGGTATGGCAATGTGAATGAGAATGCTGATGGAGAGCTCGAAACACAGCTCTCAATGTCTCCCATTGCTGATGGAGATCTTGAGATCACTGCTGATTGCCCTAGCAGATGATGAAGGCCTAGAAGGCCAATATGTGCCACTATCATGGGTAAGTGGACTTAACCTGGATGGACCCTGCACTGGCACATGATGCTGGTGATCTGGATGTGGACCTCGATGCAGAGTATGTTGACATGTGGATGGATGGACCAGGATCATTCCATCCTGGTGGCAAAGTCTCACCATCTTCCATCACTATGTCCTCATCACCTGTGGTGGGTGTTGGTCTGAGGATTTTCAGTTGCTGTGCTGCACTCTCCAGACATCAGGCCACTCACAGAAATAATGATTCCATCCCAGGAGCCAGGGGTTGCCCAAGTCTCCTGAGCTCCCCTGCAGCTTTGAATAATGAGAGATGAGTGATAAGCTCTTTCTGAGTAGCTTCTTGTGCTTTTCCAGATTGCCCTGACATTAATATTCAGAAGCTGCATTATATCCTGGACATGTCTCCATGCAATTTAAGTGTGAATTGTGGGCTTTGGCATGCCACAGGCATGATCCCCCTTCCTTCTTCCAAACACCCCAGCTGCCAGATTGACATACTGTGCCATTACAGGTATGAATGCAGACTTCATAGCCTGCCATTGTGACATGGTGTTTTTGAGCCTTTGGCATGATTATCTCCATGTCTCAGTGGAGGTATATGGTGCACTACACATTCTAATCACCTCACAAGGTATGCATCTTGATTACATAAGCAATCAATGGCCATGTAGACTAAGGATCATTCGATAGATTGGTTGATCTACATTTGTCATGGCCACCCAGTACTTTCCATCCTCTTTGGGCTCTGTTAGTGAGTCCAGGATCAAATCTGTGCTGGAGAATGATTGTAGCATGCAATTGGCTGCAGGGAACGAATCTAGCTGGACATTGCAAGTCATCAGTGACATGGGATGCATAGTTGCACAGCTCCCAGCCCATTACTATGAGCACCTACAAGCATTCTTCTGGAGAGAAAAGGTGATAAGGCTGGTACTCCAGTTCCAGGAGGAGCTCGAGGTTCAAGACCTGCTCAAGGTTAATCTAACCTTGATACTCATTTATATGGACAGGGTCTTCACTCAGATGGTCAGGGAAGCCAAATCAACCAAGAGGGATGCTTGTGTGCCTGACTGGTGCAGCCCTACATTTGACAATTACATTCTGATTGAATATCATGTGGAGCATCATGAACCAGAGATGGTCAGGGAGTATAGGCAGAAGAACAACCACAACATCAACATGCAGAGCATCAAAGACATCAGTAAGCCTTTCCACTTGATCCTCATCCCATTCTGGTGATGGACTACCATATCACATAGACTGGCATGAACATGAGGACACCCTCGGCTGAGATCTGGTATGGAAGTTCCACTCAGTTCAAGATGGAGGAGAAGGACAAGACTCTGGAGGTTGCACAGAGGCTGCTGGATGTTATAGGTTGAATTTTATGATCCCATCATGGAGGAGGATCCTGATTGTGAGTATCACAGACATGCTTTTCTTACAACACTGATTTTTAACTTCAACACAGTTGGATACACATATAAAGAGCACTTGGAGGAGGCAGGGGAAGTGAAACCCCTCAAGAGGCACATGCTGGGGCCCAGAGTATTCAAGCAGGTGAATAAGAAGGGGCCTGTGCTGCCTGACAATGAGGAAGTTTAGGGTCCCAACTTTGTAGATAGATTTTAATGCCCTGCTGTGATTTCATTTCAATATACCATATTTTTGCAGTCCACCCCACTATATATATATGTATTTTTCGATGACACAGGCATGCGGTGTGGATATGGTAATGCGATACATTCAAAGGTGGGTTATTGTAGACAGGAGTAACCCTGACCCTATACCAGAAGTCCTATTTAGAATATATATGGCATGGTGCACCAATCCTCTTCGATCACATTGATCGATTCAATTAAGCCTCCATCGCAGCATGTCTGACTACTACTGGCAACAATCACTCCCCACAATTACCCAGATGAAATACATTCTACAGATCTACTATCAATCAGAGGAGCTAGCAGATGGTACAATCCAGATAACATGCACGAATCTCAACAAGGAGATAATGGAACATCACACCTTCATTCCCTCCTTCTATTACAAGGCTCTCATCCATACACTCTGGAGGTATTACCTCCTCATCAATCTCCACGTCCATTTCAAGAAGAACCCCAATAAAAAGTACACTGAGTTCTGTCCACATCTCTTGAGAAACATTGTCCTCCTGGACAATGTACTTGAGGCTTTAATTCACCCATGCATGTTGATTGAAAGGCAAGATATCGAAGGTTTCCAATCAGCCAATTTTGAAGAATACCTTTGCATGGAATATCTCATTGGGCAGCACAATCCAAACTTGGTTAACTGCTTCAGGGCACATTGCCCCATCAATATCAAGAGAATCAAGGACAAGTTTGGTGAGGCTTTTTATGGGTTTCCATTCCAATCCAATTCACTGACATGTATATCAGAATGGAGCTGGGATGCCCACAAGGAGCGTGTCCCCACAAGGTTTTATGGGGAACAATACGATTGGGATGTGGAAAATATCCCAGATGCTGACTCAGGAGGAACTGGAGCTGGGAGCCAGGGTGGCAATGTTCCCATGGGAGGTGTGGAGAACTCTGATCCACCTCCCTCAAACCAGGCAAGTAGCATAATGTCAGTCAAGTGTCTGTAACTTATTTATACATTGATGTTACAGCAGAGGCAGACAGGCAGCAATGGAAATTCAGGTGCCCCCACTGCCTCAAGTTCTGCAAATCCTGCAGAGAATCCAGTGGGGTTCCGTCCCAGCCTGGCAGGTCTTTACTCCTGCAATAAGTAGCTGTATCAGTTGTATGGTATTTTCTTTGTCAAATGCATTACATTTTGTTCTGGGTTGTGGATGTAGCATTACAAAGTTTCCCCCTGGGGTGATCTTGTTGGAACATGTTAACAATAGTTTTGCACGTTCTAACAACTGGATGGATGTGGTACATGTAATACATATTCCATATTTTCACTGGGACTGTGTCACCTCCACATCAGCCATGGGCTTTGGAATCCTCTTTCCTGGCCATTCATCTCCTTCCACATCGCTGTCCCCCCTTCCCCGCTTCTGTATGTAATGTATCAAGCCACTGAAATGCATAGGAGAGACATAAAACAACTTGCCTGGGCTGTGGAAGGGAGGGAATGTTGCTCCTTGCCCCCCTCCTCCATGCTGTCATCCTCCCACTTCACCCACCTAGATACTAGGAATAATAAGGTCAGAATCAATGAATGCATCATGGGCATGTCACTCACTCCACTGTGGATTGGGGTTCCGCCCATACCATTCCTCTACTGCATCCCATACTTCTTTGTAGTCATCATAGGGCAGCTGTTCAATATCCCAGTTGTAATTGGCCCCATCCATCAGTTCAGGGATATGATCAGAATATGCCTTCCAGTCTGAATGAAGCTGTCAGACTGTATGATAATGATGAAACCCTTGGATAACTCACCAAATCCTTCCATTGAAATGCGCTCTATATTGGTTGGGCAATGAGCTTGGAAGTAGTTGACAGACTGGGGATTGTGCTGGCCAATCAGGTACTCTGTCACCAAGTCTTCATTGAAGTTTTTGGAATGATAATCAGGTAGCTCTGCCAGGGGGACATTCAGGCAGGGGCGGATGAGTGATTCTATTACATTGTCCAGATGGACAATGTTGCTGATCAGAGTCGGTAGAAATTCTGTGTATTTGTTGTCATTGTTCTCCTTGAATTGTAAGAACAGCTCAATGAGGAGGTAGTACCTCCACAGGAAGAGAGTGACATGAGTACCATAGAATACAGGGATAAATGCCCGATGCGATGTAGTGATTTCATCATCATTCAGGTTTCTTTGTTTGATTTCCATAATTGCCCTGTTGGCAGGCACTGGATGTAATGTGTACCAGACCTGGGTGATGTAGTCCATTTGAGTATCCATAGCTTTGGAGGGTTGCCAGTAGTAGTCAGACATTTTTTTGTGGGTTGATGGCAAATGAGAATGATGGAGTGGACTGATAAGGAAGCACTGCACTAATATCGCACAGCATATACTAAAGTGGATCATTGGCAATGGAGCCATTCCTGACTTCAGCCTCTTTATATTTTGCTAGATCCACGATCACCACTGTTCAGCACATTCTAATCACCACTGATCACATTAGCCAGACTAACCAATGTGTTTGAGAGCTGTCAAACACTGCGTGTGGTGGTATATGTGAACACCTCCGTTACGAGCTCCTGGCCTCCCCCTGTTTATATTTCCCTAGAGCATGTTCACTATTATTTGTCACGTCCTACCCGCCTGTGCAGATGTCATAATGATTATACAAAGTAATAGAAAGCCAGTGAACACAGGTTGCACTGGGATGTAATGAGTTCCGGCATACCTACTTCACTTCCCACTGTTGATATTTTTTTAGACCATGTTCGTCATCTGTTCTATGCATTGAGGCCACATTTAGAAATGTCAGAAGGATGTTGGAATGTGGCAAAAAGCTGGTGAACACACACTCCAGTGGCATATGATAAGTCTGAGCATGACCACCTGACTTCGTCCAGTCAGGTTTTTGCTAGACCATGTTCGCCACTGTTTGTCACGTCTTACACGTCTTTACCAATGGTACAATGACCATCCACGGTGGTAGCAACCCGACGAACACCTGCCATGAATGGTATATGATAAATGTGTGCATGACCACCTGACCTCCCCCTTTCTATATTTTGCTAGCCCATGTTTGCCATTGTTCATCACATCCTAGACACCTGTACCATTGTTGGTAAGACCATTAAAGGTGGTAGCAACCTGACAAACACTTGCTCTGAAGGTATATGACAAGTTTGAGCATGACTGCCTGACCTCCCCCTTTCTATATTTTTCTAGCCCATGTTCACCATTGTTTGTCACATCCTAGACACCTTTACCAGTGTTGGTAGGACCATTAGAGGTGGTAGAAACCTGATGAACACCTTCTGCAATGATATATGATAAGTATGTGCATGACCTCCTGACCCACCCCTTTCTATATTTTGCTAGACCATGTTTGCCATTTTTTGTCATGTCCTAAACACCTTTACCAGTGTTGGTATGACCATTCAAGGTGGTAAAAACCTGCCAAACACTGGCTCTGGCACTATATGTTAAAATTTGGTATGGCCACCTGGCTTCCCCCCTGTTTATATCTTGCTACTTGCCTGCTCTTCAAACATCTATTGACATTCCATTATAATAACCATTCAAATGACCACTACACATTGATTTATCTAAGCATTCTTTTTCATCCCCAAGCCAGATTGATTTGCAAGTATCAAGTACCCCTTCTTGACATTGATGTCGATGACTGTGTCCTTCATGCCTTTCCATCTTCTGAAGATGCAAACCCAAGTATGCTGCATCTGCCATGAGCATCCTGCTGTAAATGGGCATAGGTGTACAATCCTAGGGATAGACATTGGAGTGCAACATACATGCATTTCATTGGTGGCTTTGAGATGTGAAAAAACATCAGAGACCTTCTGTCCATGCACCTTGCTGATTGCTCTCAAATTCAAGAAAAATTGCTTGAACTGAAATACACAAGTCAACAAGCACAGAACAAGAATGATGACACTGGACAATTTAATACCTGTTCATTGATACCCTCCTCTCTGTCCTTGCAACCTTTGGCCAATGATTGGACAACACCAGGAATTGTTTTCAGGAATGTAGCTACCTCCTTGCTATCGAGTGTGATTTGAGTTTGTGTATTGGTTGACATGAGTGGTTGGTTAATGTTAGATGGACCAGGCATCGGAGAAACCTCCCACATTCCTTCAGGCAGTGTTCTGGCGATGGTGCACTTCCTTGGACTGACTGTCATGTTGATCATATCGAAATTGTGGGCAAGCTCCGTTTGAGGGGTGCCTGAGGATTTCTGGCTTTGCAGGAGCTGTGTGGTAACAAATTCCTTTGTCGTTGCCACCCCCTTTCCTTTCTGCCTCCCTCCAGGCTCCCTCCCAGATTGCTGGTTCACAGGTGGATCATCTGCTACAGGCAGAATGTTCACCATGGGTAGTGATTTTGTCATCCCCAACAGCCACTGGAAACAGTGTGGGATCTAGGCCCTCATTTACAATGCTAGCACCTTGGGAAAATGAGTCCAAGGGGAAGTCAACTTGTGATTCAATCATGTCTGAATCCAGTGGCAGAGACCAATGGGCTATTGTGATGAAAGCAGTATATTCATATGCATTTCCACAGGAGAGTACAAAGAAATCAATATAATTACTTACAGGGGGGAGGTCAACCAATCATCTGTAGCAAATGCTGACTAAACCCTATTGGCTGGTCGCCTTCCCAGTCGGGATGTGCAGCAGGAGGGTTTGGAGATGGTCTTTTCTGTTGGCCACCCTGTTCTTCATCGCTGCCCTCTGACAACTGCTGCTTCTGTGTCACAGCCAGCTGACATGGGATTGTGAGGTTCAGTGATGCCTGTTGAGATGAAATGCACTTGCCTGGTTTGGAGGAGGGGGGACATCAGAGTCCTGTTCCCCACATCCATCATTTTTCCCCATATCATTGCTGCCCTCACTGTCCTCTTCTTCATTCTCATCACATCCTTTCCCCCCATTGCCCCCTTCCCCTCCATGATCCTCTCTCCCACTGATCTCAGGATTTGTATCATCTCCATGCTCCATGTCCTGGTCCACATCACTCATGTTCTGTTGATCTATGTCCCCATCCAATCGACCATCATCTGTACCCTTTTCTTCATCCTTGAAACCAAGCCCCTCATCCCATACCACCCACTGAGATACTATTGATGTAATCAATGTGATGTCAGAATAAATGTTATTGGATTGGAAACAGTCACTCACTCCAATGTGGGTCCAGTTCTTGTGAATACCATTCGGCCACTTTGTCCCACATCTTTGGAAGGTCTTCATCAGGAACTGAATCTACCTCCCAATCATATTCTCCCCCAAAGAAACATTCTGGGATCCAATCAGCATAATGATCCCAGTCCATTTCTGATGACTGTATCAGACACTTGGATGATAAAGGAAACCTGTATGATGACTCACTGAGGGAATCTACCAATCTCTCAAGATTGGTCGGGCAATGTGCCCTGAAATTGTTAACTGACTTGGGATCATGCCAGCCGAATGAGGTATTCTGTCACCAGGAATTCCTCGAAGTTGGGACAGTGATGTGTTGGAATATCTTCTTCTTTCATACCAATGCTTGGGTGGATGAGGGCTTCGATGATGTTGTCCAGATGGACAATGTTTCTGAGGAGGGTGGGGCGGAAATTTGCATACAGTTTGCTCTGAGCCTTTTGGAAATGCAGATGTAATCAGCATGAGGAGGTAATACCTCCAGAAAAACAATTTTATGAACCTGAAATAGTGCCCAGGGAGCATTACATGGTCTTCAGTGATCTTGAGGTAGAGATTCGTAGATGTGACCTTCACCATGGTCTCCTCAGGGATCTGCATATTCCAACTTGTATATGATCTGCTTGATGTAATCGATCTGCAGTGGTGTTGGGAGTGATTGTTGCCAGTAGTAGTCCGACATGATGTTGAGATCGATCTCAAATCAGGCTGAATGATAAGGATGAAGATGAAATTTGTAGCAACACAGCATATCGCCTAAATCGGTCCCACATTAATGAGGCCTTTGATCAGTAGCACGTGTATCATATATTTCTGTCAACCAAAGACTGATTGATGACATGTGGTGGATTAACCTCATTTTCTCCTCTCATCTGCAGGCCCATTTCAATGGCAAGAGGGTCATCCATTGGACCACATAGTGATAGTAGCTTCTGGAGTCATTGCAAGTGCCAGTGGAATGTGAAACACCATAAATCCCACCTCCTTGTCGATTGCATGACAGACCCCAAGACTGCCAAACTTCAAATAGTGTACAACACATGTTGCTGTTGCTTCAGGGTTGCACCAGCATCTGATCTAGTGTATTCATTGTAGTGTGATGGGACTCAACATGATTTTTTCATTGGTCAAGTAGCTTTGCTGAATGGGAATGGAAACACTTGTAAATCTCTAGTCTAATGAATGGAGACCACCAGTTCCAGGAAAATCTCAGGGAGAAATCCAAGCACTTCTGGCAGCAGCATTTACATGTACATGTGCAGAACAGCCTATGAAGGCCATTAGTATTTGATGCCTTATAATCCCACTTCTGTGTCTGATGGACAATCAATGGAGACATGTATCAAGTACATTAATATATATGTGTACAAATGATATCTTTAATGCCTTAGACATCCATTGAAGAGTGGTCAGATCCAGAGGGCAATGGCATGGGGGACTTTTGCTTATGCTTATCTTTCAGCCTCTGAGAGGCTCTGTGCTCATTCACAGTCCCTCCCTCTCATCTCTTTCCCTTATCACATCCCTTGCACTTGCTACTCACCCCACCACCACAATGACCTCCTCCAATGCTATCATCTCCCTCTCCCTGCACCTTTCCCTTGCCTTTATCTGCAGTGCTGCCTTGTAGATGTTCCTTGTATGTGTATCCAACTGTTTGAAGTTAGACTTCAGTAGATGGGGAAAGACAGTATCCCTGTGCTAACAGTCAGGGTCCTCGTCCTCCACTGGATCATTGAAGTCCACCATCACATCGATCAGTTTCTGTGCCACATCCACAGTCTTCATCTTCTCATCCATTTCAAACTGAGTCCAGCTCCCATACCACATCTCATCCAGGGCATGCTCACGGTGAACCCAGTCTGTGGTATAAGTAGGTGAATGGCAGCAAAAATTTACAAGGAGATTGAAACACTTACCAACCTCTGAAATGCTGGTGTGGTTGATGTTGTGGTTGTTGTTGCATCTATAATTCCTCACCTGGGCTGGTTCATGGCACCACACAAAATATTCTATCAATAAGTAGTTGTCAAATGTGGACTGTGCCAATCAAGTGTGTGATCTCTGCATTTGACTTTCTTCACCTCTGCAACTACTTGAATGAAAACCCTGTTCATATATGCGAGGATCATGGTCAGATTCTCCACCAGCAGCTCTTCCACCTCCACCTCCTTCTTGAAGTGAAGCACCAGCCAGATCACCTTTTCTCTCCAGGTGAAAGCCTGAATAGGCTTGTAGTAGTGATGGGGGAGCTCCACGATGACTTTATTGTCAGCATGGGTGACCTGGCATGGCCAGATGGACCCTTCAGAGCCTCCTGGAGCCAACCTAACATGTCGATCTTTTTCCAACAAGGCTTTGAGATTGTGGATGAATCCAAGGGAAGACAGGTAGTACTGGGTAGCCATGGTAATAGTCAAGATCAATTACATAATCTATCTTGTAAATGTACCTTCATCATTGATTGCTTATGTAAGTGGAATGTAAGGCGAATAGTGCATGTCATGCACCATATACATACAGTAAGACTGACCATGTCCAAGGCATGAAGACTCCATGTCCTGATAGATACTGTAATGGACCAGTTTGTAAAACTAATCACAAGGTGGGCAGGTCAGCCCTCACACCAAATACAGTAGTATACCTGTTCAGCACCATTACCATTGATTCCCCCTGTAAGGTGGTCAGGCAGACTATCCAAAGTGTTGAAGGCTATGGAACACTGATTGGTTTCAGCATGACCACCTGACTTCCTGCTGTAGATACTTTGCTGGACCATGTGTTTACTGTGACATCATTCAGACAGCAGAAGGTGGTAGAAGCCTTGCAAACATGTTTCAGTATGGCCACCCGACTTCCCCCAGTCTACATGTTGCTAGACCATGTTCATCATTGTTCAGCATGTCACCACAACCTTTACCAATGTTAGTATATGATAAGTTTCAGTATGACCACCCAACTTCCTCCTCTCCATATATTTGTTCTTCATTGTTCCACACATCTAAACCTCACTTACCAATGTCAGGGGGTGATTTCCATGTGGGGAAAGCCTGGAGAACACAGTATTTAGTGGTATATGATAAGTTTTGGTATGTCAACCTGACCTCCCCCTGTCTATATTTTGCTGGGTGATGGTAGCCATTGTTCATCATGTCTTGACCACCTTCACCAATGTCAGTAAGACCATCCACAGTGGTAGAAATCTGACAAGCTCTGACTCTGATGGTATACAATAAGTTTGTGCATGACCACCTGACCTCCCCAAGTCTATATTTTGCTAGGCAATGTTCACCATTGTCTGCCATGTCTTAACCACATTTACCAATGTCAGCAAGGACTATCCATGATGTAGCAACCTGACAAATGCTTTCTCTGATGGTATATGATAAATTTGAGTATGACCACCTGACCCCTCCCCCCCTTTCTATATTTTGCTAGACCATGTTCCTTGTTGTTCAGCGTGTCCCACCCACCTTTACTGATGTAATTAAGGCCATCTAAATCACTTGGATACAGCTTTCTGCTTTTGTCCATGATGTGTTCTGCCTATTATGCCTACATGTGTTTTCCATGTTGTAATCCATGTGGAGGGGCCAGGTGCTGTGGTGCTGACAGTCTGAAAAATCTTTGAAATATCACATACTGGTGCATGATCCCACCGCTGCTCTTTATTCATTTCTACCACAGCATCTGACACTACCAATGCAGTATTTAGCCTCCCAATCATCACCCTGACCTCTTCCAATTCCTTTCTTTCTGTTCAATGGCTGGCATTTGTTTGGGTCAGGGTTCTACAGCCAAGAAAGAGCCTACATCATATATAACACTCTCTGCCTTCTGCAAAACAGAGGGAGCATTGATAATATACATATGACTTCTGTGCCTGTTGGAGCAGGTCACTGGTCATATGATTTTGTAGACCAGTTTCAACCTCCTGTCTCTGCCTGTTCTGTGCTGCTCCAACCTCCTCCCACATACTCATCATAACCTCACCATTGCCCACCACACCACCCTCATTTCCCCTGCATATCAGAATGCACAGGACACACACCTGAATATCCTGCAGTGAGAGACCTGTCCCATTTGGGACTTCCTTTGTGATGTCCAGGGGTCTGGTGCTTCCCTTTGTGAGTTTCTGTAAACAACTGCAGTGGAACCAATTTTTGCAGGTTTGACAATACCATTGTTGAGCTTTGTCTGGGTTATATGGTTTTTCACAGACAGAGCAGGCATGGAAGGGGCCCTGATGGGGTGTAGTTTATGTCAGGAGTCTTTTCAAAAATCAGTGTCATGCCATTCATCCATACCTGGATGACTTGTTTACCATGTGTGCTCATGGTCCACCATGTATACATATCCTTGGGTCCTATCAGAGGACCAAAA